TAAGATTTGACGGTTCACTTCAGACAAATTCTTCTGAGGGACAAGCTCAATTGTATTTCCTTGATTCCTCTCATCTCGCCTCCTCAAAGCACATTGGAGGAGAAGGAACATTCCGATTTTGGCCTCCAATGCGTTTTCAGGAAGAGGCGAGGGGACAGGACGCAAAAAATCATGGAAAATACATTCACCCTCGGGTGTTGATTCATCCACAAGACAGAAGACCCTGGGGGGTTGGGGGGTAGCGTTGTTCCTCTACCGGGAGGAGTTGGAGCTGGAGCGGGAACGATGACGTCTGCGCCCTGGAGACCTGGAGCGTCGGCGCACGGGGGACCGTCTCCTTGGTGACCGAGACCTGGAGGTAAACAAAGCATCACTTGTTTGTCAGTAAAGTACCTTTATATTGTGTCATGTGAAGAAACCATCAATAGGTCAACATATTAAACCACAAAAAGCTAGAGTGGCACTAGGAGTAGAGAATGAAATACTACAATAATGTTCTCAGGACAGTAGGTCAGATTGGAGGATTCAAATTACTGTTGAAATTGGTGATTGAACCAATTATTCATAAACTGAACAGTTTGTTACTGAGCCCCAGTATTGTACAATAAATCCAGGACTTCCAGCTCAACATAACATGGGACTAAGACTATCAGACCAGGGCTATCAGACCAGGGCTAAGACTATCAGACCAGGGCTAAGACTATCAGACCAGGGCTATCAGACAGGGGCTAAGACTATCAGACCAGGGCTAAGACTATCAGACCAACACTAACCTTCTCCTCATGCGAGGTGGGGTGCGGCGCCACATGGGGGGAGGTGGGGGCATTCTGCGTGGGGGTGACTGTCTGCGAGGGGGAGGGCGTATCCTTGGAGCCAGAATGGCGGAGGTGGTGATCTCCTGACCATCAATCTGACCTGGGAACAGAGGAAAGACAGAAACACGCACAAACCTCAACGTCATACTAGAAGCATCTCTGTTAAAATGTCCACGTATCTAAACTCCAGGACATTCAGAGATTTCAGACTGACACAAAGCAGGACAAGGGGTTTAACTCCAAGCCAATAGTCCAACATAAAGGCTCTGAACTGTCTTCCAGAGATGATACATTGGCGACGTAGCGTTGGCGTAACGAACTAACCCCATCATTGTAGGTTTTTAGCTGCTCCACTGGAAGCACAAGCACAAGCCACTTTAAGCGTTTACCCTTCGTGAGTCACACATCGACTGGGAGAAAATGAAAAAGCCTCTCACAGCTAATCTTCAGTCACGTGCAACCAGTGTAACAGCCAGGTTTCAATGAGAGTGTATTACTTGCAGCTCACACGCAACAAAAAGTATGTACCAGGTCTGTTATTGTTACAGTCTACAAGGTCGTGTTCAGTAGGCACAAAACGACGGAAACTATCTGAACTGGTCCAATAAGAATCGCTCGTTTTCATTCCCCGTTGCAAAACGTCCTACTACGGTGTGGCCTAATGAACATGCCCTCATACCGCCATCCATGTGTTTCAGGGCCTTCTGGGCCTCCTCTGGAGTCTCGTATTCCACGTAGGCGTAGCCCCGGGACAGGTGTGGGTGGAGCCTCTCCACTGGCATGTCAATCATCTTGATCTTGCCATAGGTGGCAAAGATCTCCTGGATGTGGTCCTGTTCAACAGAAGACAAAAATGACTTCAACATGTTGATCTCTGATGGCCTGGTCTCCACTTACATTTCATTAAAAGAGAAGTACCGGTACATATTTACTTTAAAGCGCAATATGTAGAAATCACTCTGCTATACATGGATGCAAAAATTCTAAAATGTTCGACTAATTTCAGTCTGTGACGAACAAGCAATGTAGGCTATAGTGCAGAGAATCATTGTACCATCTAAACCGCTGTGAAATATATTTTCAATAACCCCCCCCAAAAAAAAAAATATATATATACACACAGTACCAGTCAAAAGTTTGGACACACCTACTCATTCCAAGGTTTGTCTTTATTTTTTTACATTGTAGAATAATAGTGAAGACATCAAAACTATTAAATAACACATATGGAATCATGTAGTAACCAAAAAAATAGTTAAACAAATCAAAATATATTTTATATTTGAGATTCTTCAAAGTAGCCACCCTTTGCCTTGATGACAGCTTTGCACACTCTTGGTATTCTCTCAAACAGCTTCATGAGGTAGTCACCTGGAATGCATTTCAATTAACAGGTGTGCCTTGTTAAAAGTACATTTGTGGAATTTATTTCCTTCTTAATGCATTTGAGCCAATAAGTTGTGTTGTGACAAGGTAGGGGGGTATACAGAAGATAGCCCTATTTGGTAATAGACCAAGTCCATATTGTGTCAAGAACAGCTCAAATAAGCAAAGAGAAATGACAGTCCATCATTACTTTATGACATGAAGGTTAGTCAATCCAGAACATTTCAAGAACTTTGAAAGTTTCTTCAAGTGCAGTTGCAAAAACCATCAAGCGCTATGATGAAACTGGCTCTCATGAGGACCGCCACAGGAATGGAAGACCCAGAGTTACCTCTGCTGCAGATGATAAGTTAATTAGAGTTACCAGCCTCAGAAATTGCAGCCCAAATAAATGGTTCACAGAGTTCAAGTAACAGACACATCTCAACATCAACTGTTCAGAGGAGACTGTGAATCAGGCCTTCATGGTCGAATTGCTGCAAAGAAACCACTACTAAAGGACATCAATAAGAAGGGACTTGCTTGGGCCAAGAAACAAGAGTAATGGACATTAGACCGGTGGAAATGTGTCCTTTGGTCTGATGAGTCCATATTTGAGATTTTTGGTTCCAACCGCCGTGTCTTTGTGAGACGCAGAGTAGGTGACCGGATGATCTCCGCATGTGTGGTTCCCACCGTGAAGCATGGAGGAGGTGGTGTGATTATGCTTTGCTGGTGACACTGATATATTTAGAATTCAAGGCACACTTAACCAGCATGGCTACCACAGCATTCTGCAGCGATATGCCATCCCATCTGGTTTGCGCTTATCATTTGTTTTTCAACAGGACAACGACCCAAAACACACCTCCAGGCTGTTTAAGGGCTATTTAACCAAGAAGGAGAGCGATGGTCCTGCATCAGATGACCTGGCCTCCACAATCACTCGACCTCAACCCAATTGAGATGGTTTGGGATACGTTGGACCGCAGAGTGAAGGAAAAGCAGCCAATAAGTGTGGGAACTGCTTCAAGACAGTTGGAAAAGCATTCCTCATGAAGCTGGTTGGGAGAATGCCAAAAGTGTGCAAAGCTCTCATCAACGCAAAGGGTGGCTACTTTGAAGAATCTAAAATCTATTTTGATTTGTTTTCAACACTTTTTTGGTTATTACATGATTCCATATGTGTTATTTGTAGTTTTAATGTCTTCTATTATTCTACAATGTAGAAAAATAAAAAATAAAAAAAATAGTAAAAATAAAGAAAAACCCTTAAATTAGTAGGTGTGTCCAAACTTTTGACTGGTGATAGATAGATACATAGAGAGATAGATAGATAGATCTTTATTTATCCATTGTACAACAGGAATATGTAGCTGTAGGCCAACAAACGATTGGTGCTTCAGAATTTGCTTTAGGCCAGGTAATATGTTTACTTCAGAACTGCCTTCTCCCGGATATCTTCAAAGAAAAGTTAATCATTCAATATGATAATATTGGTAATTACCCAGTAGCATCCTGCAAAATTGAGAGATCATGAGAGAGGATACACAACTGTTACTAACCGCTAACACTGTGCTGCTCCCAGCCTGTTATGTCAATAGTGTGTCAGAGGGTTGGGTACTGCGGCAGTAAAAACACACATTTCCATTGAACAATAAATAAAGATCTATTTGATATTTTATTTTTTAACCTCCTTATGAATGATAAATGTGTTATGAAAGTTGTTATTAATGACTGACTGCAACACTCATAAAGGTGTTATGAAGGTTGTTATTAATGACTGCAATACTCATAAAGGTGTTATGAAGGTTGTTATTAATGATTGACTGCAACACTCATAAAGGGGTTATGAATATCCTTGTGTATTATACCACCTTCAAGTAAAGTGTAAAATATAATTCAATGAACATAGAAAAATTCCAGTTGTTGAATTTGGGGTTAATTAGACTTGCACACCAAATGTAGTAAGCCCAGAAACACAGCTAGGATGAACCATGTAGTGTAGTCCCCTCACCTTGGTCACATTTCTGGTCAGTCTTCCTAAGTGAACTTTGGTGGGCTTGGGGCTCGGGCTCCTTCTCCTTCGCTCCTTGTCGTCTCCCTTCTTCTGTGTTTTGGACCTGAAGCACAAAGGACAGTCATTACAAAACCATGAGAGTTTACTATGTGACTGTGGTGTCGAGAAAACGTTGCTAATTATGCTGTGAGACCAAGGAAATCCGCTGACGCTGTACTTTGATTATAAAGGTTTATTATATCAGAGTATTTCAGCGTCAATTTACAGATATCTGCAGACATCTGGAGAATAATCGCCCAATCTCAAATATGATTATTCTGTCCTCCTTTGTTTTAACCAAGTATTTATATCCTATGCCCTATGTAACATAATATGGGTGTTTTCCTACCGACCAATCCCAGGAGGCCACCTAACAGACTTCCTCTGCTTTAGGGTGCCCCTATAGAACTACTCCCCAGATGCTCCCTTTAAGCTTAGTCAACATCCTCTAAAACCATTTGAAACCATTAGCAAAGTCATAAATTCCTCAGATACCACATGACAAAACACTGTTTTAAAGGGCGACAAACTTGTAGTTTCCCCCACAACTGAACCATTTTGATCATGATAAACGGCATTCTCAACCAGACCTGGGTTCAAATAGTATTTGACATTAACAAATACTTTGAATGTGTGCCACTGGTTTCATTGTCCTAGATAAATAAAAAAAATTGGACGATTTCAAATACTATGTGAACCCTGGTAAGGTCCCGATGAGCAGACACTATTTAGGAGCACAATCACAATGTATCAGCTAGCACTCACGCGGAGCGGGAGCGGCGGCGGTTGTCGTGGCGGCGGCGGCCGGGGCCGGGCGACCCGGAGGAACTTGATGAGCTGGAGGAGCTGGACCGGGAGGACCCAGAGCGGCTGGTGCCAGAGGAACTGGAGCCGCTGGAGGAACCAGAGCTGGAGCCGGAGCTGCTGCTGGAGCTGGAACGAGCCCATGGGTAGTAAGATACACATTCACAAATAGGCCAGTGACAAGAGTTGTGTTCATTAGGAAAGAAATGGAAAGAAACTGGGCAAAACAGGGAGGTACCATCCAAAATTCTTGTCCAATTAACCTCTTGGCCCCCTTGGGAACATAGGGCGTTCCAGCAACTATGGTGGCAGTGTAACAAGGCCAGCTCAGTTTAGTGCGGTTTGTCTCAGCAGTGTGAAAAGCCCTAGCTAGTGTGTCCTAAAGCACTGTTGTGAGGTGGTTAATAAAGACCATACAGAGTCTGAAAGAGCAAGGGGGGCATCTCACCTGCTGCTGCTCCCAGTGGAAGCACTGCGTCGTTTGTGGCCCTTCTCCCTGCCTCTCTCCTTGTCCCCCCCTTCCTTAGTGGCAGTCTTCTCTTTTCCCCTGTCCTTTGACTTTTCCTCCTCCTTACGCTTTGTGGGTGACGGTGCCCTAAGAGAAAAAATACGTAAATTAAGTTAGTTAGATGCAATGAAAAAGCCAATAAATACATGATAAATGCTGCTAACTTGCTAATACGTTACATGAAAACATGCGCCATGGGCAGTTGCAGTATAACAAACATTCTGTTATTCACTCATCACAAATAAACTACCTAGCTAGTTCTCCAACGTTGGTTAAATACAATTGTGATTTAGCTAGCGTTAGTTAAATAATCTGAATGTAGGGCCATCTAGATAACCAAGCAGCTAAGATAACTACCTAGTATGGACATAAACTAGCTCGTGCAGTGTGCAAGAAAGTGTAGACACAGTGTTAGTAAAATAGCTAGCGAACAGCATTATTATTCGGTTCTTGATCTTCAAACATTAGCTAACTGTTTATATGTTGCATTTATGCGACCGCCATTACCTTCCTCCTTTCATAGAACAAGCAAGGCCAGAAACGATAGCTAGTTAGGAACGTTGTGACCTGCTCTGTTTATGTAGCTCAAGCATTGAAATGCATCTACTGTAATGGCAAAATGGTCAACATTCAGAAGATCATAAAATGGCATAGAAATACTTATATAAACCCAGAATACGTACATTTCGTTCGAGTCGGATGCAGCCGGCTCAACCACTCGTTTATCCGTGCTAAATCTGACGCGTAATAATGACGTAGTCGCCTAAATGACGTTTTCCACTTTTTCTCTTTTGTCAACATTCATATGAAAATCTTTAGCTTGCTATCAACCCTCGACCACTGGTTCTCGACCTTTGGTTCTACCAGTAAGGTTAGCTTATAGTTACTCGTTAAAAATGTTTGTTTTCCTCTAGCGATTTAGCTTGCACACTAAATGAGACATTTTCAAGTGAACTGGAAACGTGCAGTATTGTAAAGAAGGTGAGTTGGCACCACGATCAAAGATTCTTAGCTAGAACCAGCTCACGGTAGTTAGTTAGCTATGTAGATAAAATCCTTTCCTTTCTTCAACATTAGGTTAGGGCCGTTAGGCTATGTGTCCACATTGTGGGACAGGTTTGATGCTATCTAGCTAAAATATTTACTAGCTAGACAGTGGACAGTACACAGTGTCCAAACATCCGAACGTTGATGCTAGACTGCTGGTACCGGTCGAGTAATAAAAATAGACCACGCTACGGCTTCCAAGCTTAGCTCAGGTGGAAGTCTGTGGCAGAGGCTAGATACACTGCCAGCCGTGTTCTATTGGCTTACGTATTCTGTTTATTTAGCTTATTAAATCTAACTAATAATTTATGTCTATTGACAAAAATAATCAGTCAATTTTGCCTGGAGTCCTTCACAAGTTAAATAGCTTTTAATGTTCGCTATCTCTGTGAGGTTTCAGGTGAAGAAGATTCTGTGATAGAAATGGTGCCATCTGTGTGATTTCTGATCAGTTTAACAACAATAGCGTAATATATTTATGTGTTTGAAAGTCTAATTCCAAATGCCCTATTTACTACAGTCAGTAGTGAATTCTCTGTCTCTCAACAGATAGAAGTAGCCTAAGTCCCGATTGGACAAGGGCTCTTGTGGAGTGGAGCAGCCTGGAGTGAGTGACCAACCATGGGCCGTCTGGACGATGCTGCCAAGCGCAAGGTGGTGGAGCTGCGGCAGGCGGGCCTGAGCTTCCGCAAGATCAAGGCGGTGCTGGAGCTGGAGAACATCCGGGTGTCTGCCCAGGCCATCTACCTGTACCTCAAGGAGTTCCAGAGGAAGAAGGTCCAGAGGGGTGGTGGAAGTGCTGCAGCCCCAGACCCGCAGACCACACCTGGGGTTGGGGCTGGGGCAGAGAGAGGAGATGGTGGAAGGCGGGAGGGCTGGAACGACCAGCAGATAAGGAATCTACTGCGGGAGGCATCACGCCACGCAGGCTATGTTGCGGCGTCTGAGTTCGCCAAGCAGGGTCCTGGCTCCACTCCTCCTGAGGTCAGGGGTCAGGGGCCGTCTGGGACAGGAGGCGAAGGCGCCAGTAGAGGACAGAGCAACAGGACAGAGAAACAGGAGGAAGGGGACAAGAAGGAGGATGATGAGGATAAGGACATCCAGATTGTCAGTGTCACATCGTTGGCTCAGAACTCTCAACAGAGGGGTCTTCCACCCGCGACGGCAGCGGCTGTGACTGTGACAGGGGCCTACATGCGTAAGAGAGCCACGCCCTCGCCAGCTACTAACCCCATACTGGCAGCACGCAAAAGGCTTCTGGATAAGGCTTTGTCTCATAGAGCAAAGGTAGGCACGTCTCATAGTCGTGTGATTCACTAAGACCAAAAAGTAATTCAGCAAAAAATGATTTTAATTTAATAAAATTTGCTCCCAAATATGCCAACAAATAAACAGAGACATGTGATAGTGTGTCAATGTAATTGAGGTATGAAGTTATTATGGTATTGTCAAATATAGTATCGGTTTGGGCTTACTGTCATTTTGCAGTGTACAAATTAATATAATTAGGCGTCTGTTCCAGCCCCCCGACATTCTCTCAGACAAAAGTACAGCACATTGAGTTCATCAACGAGCCTAGGCATTTATGCGCTCTGCACAATTAGCCTGGGGATAGCCTCGGAAGCCCTTATACTACAAAGCATGATCAATGAGTTAGCCAGCTAACTTTGATAAACAACCAGAAATAACTACTGATTTTCTGATTCATTAAGAAATCTAAATGTAGATATGTGTTTTTGGTTGTTGAGTCAATTAGACCATGCCCATTTCAAGCTTATCTTTCTAAACAAATTATGTTATTTCAAAATATTTAGGAAAGTTAGCTGGCTAAGTCATTAGTCCTGCTTTGTAGTATACCTCTCAGGCTTCTCTCATTCTGTTTGAAGCCTGGGGAAGATTTCTCGTAAGGGAAGACGATAAATAAAAGGGCTGTAGTATGGTGGAGTCTAGATGCTTGTGTACAATCTTTCAGAACAGTGTAATTTACATAAAAATCCAGAACCTGTTTTGCTAACATTCCACTCCTTGTACTCCGTGTTAGTTAGTTTTTTCTTGTTTTGCATGACAAGGAGTGGCAAGGAGTAGAATTGTACCAGAAACAGACTGGTAACCAGGCTATAATTTACAATCCTTTTAAAATGTTTCAGTAAAAAAAATTGCATTTCTTGTTGGACATGTTCAGATAGTACCCCCACGCGGTACACTGTTTCAAAATGTTTTCCACTTTCTGAACACAATCCTGGTATGAAATAAATGATCATATGAGAGGTGTTATTACTGTGATGATCATGTAATTTCTAGGCTTTGAATGGATGCATTTTTCCCCCAGATAAGAGATTCTTCTTATCAGTCCTACCAGCAGGTAGCAGCTTTGTTGAGAAGAGAACAGTCTAATGCTCCTGGTTCTGATGTCCAGAGACCTGTGCCAGCAGATCAACCACAGTCCTATGACCCAGTCGCTCAGAGGCTTACTCAAGCGGTGAGTACAAGGCGAAGGAAACTCAAACCGTAATATACACAATTATTTCTCTTTAAGTTGTCTATTGAAATGAACAACGTTACCAAAGTTTAACTGTGGTACATATTGCAATCAAACAAAAGGTTGAACAAACACTCGGAGCATGCTATGTTTCGATCGGTTTTCCTCAGGCAATGCAGTTCCTCCAACATGTGGCATGCTCTGAGTGTTTGTTCCTTTTTGTTTGAATTCTGTTCATTTCTTGGAAAAGGTACCACAGTTAAACTGTTTAGTTACAGTATATGAGTAGGGAAGATCGGGGAAAACAGTAACACATTTGAGTTGTTTTAAAAACGTATTTATTTAACACTGTTTGTTTTAGAGATTTCAAAATTTCACATGAACAACTTACATTTATAATAATAATAATAATAATCTGCTAACTAAAAGTAGGCTACAGTTACAATTCTGGCTTAGACCCAAAGTCTGAAAAAGTCCTAATGTTACAATAACCCCAATAGCAGGGACAGTTGTAACACTGTCTTTAATGGTAAAACATTAGGGGTAATTCAACAATGGTATGATTTAAAACTGATATTTGGATGAAAATAAAATAAATTGGCGAAAAAATAAGTTATCTTTTAGGTATGTCATATGGCCCAGAAACTGAATTAGCGTTGAAAAATATTTTTGGGGTGCTTTTACATTTTTTTCAAAGGTATTATCTTAGTTGCAAATCAAATCAAATAATATCTAACAATTTCACAACATATACCCAATACACACAAATCTAGTAAGGAATGGAATTTAAGAATATATATATATATATATATGGACAAGCAATGACAGAGCGGCATGGACTAAGATACAGTAGAATATTATAGAATAGAATGCAGTATATACATATGAGATGAGTAGTGCAAGATATGTAAACATTATCAAAGTGACTAGTGTTCCATTTCTTAAAGTGGCCAGTGATTTCAATAGGCAGCAGCAGCCTCTAATGTGCTAGTGATGGCTATTTAACAGTCTGATGGCCTTGAGATAGAAGCTGTTTTTCATTCTCTCGGTCCCAGCTTTGATGCACCTGTACTGACCTCTCCTTCTGGATGAAAGCGAGGTGAACAGGCAGTGGCTCGGATGGTTGATTATCTTTTTGGCCTTCCTGTGACATTGGGTGCTGTAGGTGTCTTGGAGGGCAGGTAGTTTGCCCCCGATAATGCGTTCGGCAGACCACACCACCCTTTGGAGAGCCCTGCGGTTGCGGGCGGTGCAGTTGCCGTACCAGGCGGTGATACAGCCCGACAGGATGCTCTCAATTGTGCATCTGTAAAAGTTTGTGAGGGTTTTAGGTGCCAAGCCAAATTTCTTCAGCCTCCTGAGGTTGAAGAGGCTCTGTTGCGCCTTCTTCACCACATTATCTGCGTGGGTGGACCATTTCAGTTTGTCAGTGATGTGTACACCAAGGAACTTGAAGCTTTCCACCTTCTCCACTGCGGTCCCGTTGATGTGGATAGGGGGGTCCACGATCATCTCCTTTGTTTTGTTGACGTTGAGTGAGAGGTTATTTTCCTGGCACCACACTCCCAGAGCCCTCACCTCCTCCCTGTAGGCGGTCTCGTCATTGTTGGTAATCAAGCCTACTACTGTTGTGTCGTCTGCAAACTTGATGATTGAGTTGGAGGTGTGCTTGGCCACGCAGTCATGGGTGAACAGGGGGCTGAGCACGCACCCTTGTGGGGCCCCAGTGTTGAGGATCAGCGAAGTGGAGATGTTGTTTCCTACCTTCAACACCTGGGGGCGGCCCGTCAGGAAGTCCAGGACCCAGTTGCACAGGGCGGGGTTCAGACCTAGGGGCTCGAGCTTAATGATGAGCTTGGAGGGTACTATGGTGTTGAATGCTGAGCTATAGTCAATGAATTCTTACATAGGTATTCCTCCTGGGATAGGGCAGTGTGCAGTGTGATGGCGATTGCATCGTCTATGGATCTTTTGGGTCTAGGGTGACAGGTAAGGCAGAGGTGATATGATCCTTGACTAGTCTCTCAAAGCACTTCATGATGACAGAGGTGAGTGCTACAGGGCGATAGTCATTTAGTTCAGTTACCTTTGCTTTCTTGGGTACAGGAACAATGGTGGCCATCTTGAAGCATGTGGGAACAGCAGACTGGGAAAGGGAGAGATTGAATATGTCTGTAAACACACCAACCAGCTGGTCTGCGCATGCTCTGAGGACGCGGCTAGGGATGCCGTCTGAGCCGGCAGCCTTGTGTGGGTTAACATGCTTAAATGTCTTACTCACGTCGGCCACTGTGAAGGAGAGACCAAAGTCCTTGCTCATGGGCCTCGTCGGTGGCACTGTGTTATCCTCAAAGCGGGCGAAGAAGGTGTTTAGCTTGTCTGGAAGCGAGACGTCGGTGTCAGTGACGTGGCTGGTTTTCCTTTTGCAGTCCGTGATTGTCTGTAGACTCTGCCACATACGTCTCGTGTCTGAGCCGTTGAATTGCGACTCCAATTTGTCTCTATACTGATGTTTTGCCAGTTTAATTGCCTTGCGAAGTGAGTAGCTACACTGTTTATATTCTGCCATATTCCCAGTCACCTTGCCATGGTTAAATGCGGTGGTTCGCGCTTTCAGTTTTGTGCGAATGCTGCCATCTATCCACAGTTTCTGGTTAGGGTAGGTTTTAATAGTCACTGTTGGCACAACATCACCTATACACTTCCTGATAAACTCAGTCACCGTTTCAGTGTATTCGTCAAAATTATTTTCACAAGGTACCCGGAAAATATCCCAGTCCGCATGATCAAAACAATCTTGAAGTGTGGATTCCGATTGGTCAGACCAGCATTGAATAGTCCTTAGCACGGGTACTTCCTGTTTGAGTTTCTGCCTATAGGAAGGGAGGAGCAAAATGGAGTTGTGGTCAGATTTGCCAAAAGGAGGGCGGGGGAGGGCCTTATAACCATCCCGGAAGTTCGAATAGCAATGGTCGAGGATTTTAGCAGCGCGAGTACAACAGTCGATATGTTGATAGAACTTCGGCAGCCTAGTCCTCAAATTTGCTTTGTAAAAATCCCCGGCTACAATAAATGCAGCCTCAGGATATGTGGTTTCCAGTTTGCAAAAACTCCAGTGAAGTTCTTTGAGGGCCGTCGTGGATGATGTAAAGTTGATGTAAAGAAGTGAAATTTGATATAAATATGTGAATGTGTCTAAATGCACATCATTTTAGGTAAAGGGGTAAGTTGTACCAATGAGTTACAACAACTAACCCCAATCATAGGAGTCTTATGAGAAAATACAACAATAATTATTGTCATCAACTAGACTAATCAAAAGGCCTTCTCTTACTGATAAAAATAATATATGTGTCGATACATGGAGAATGTTCCTAAGGTCAATCAAAATAGAGGCGGCAAAAATATGTTTTAAAAAATGGCCTCAAAACAATGTTTTGTCAATAAAACCAAAGATTGATGGATACCATTTTTATTTATTTATTCAACTTCATAGTCATGTAAAGACTAACCAATCATTGGCACATTGAACAGCTTTCTAAGTAGGTTTTAATTTGATATATTTAGCCTGTTACAACTGATCCATGTTACAATTGACTTATACTCTGCAGAGGAATTTGGACGGCCAGCCAGGAGCCAGTGATCCCAGACAGATGTTCCAGCAGAGGGTCGGTGGCGTTTCCGTCCGCTCCCCGCACCCTGCTCCTCCCCGTGTGGGCATCCGGCTCCCCAACCCCCCACCACCACCCACCTCCCAGGGTAGTAGCCCTGTCATCCGCCTCCAAAGCCCTGGGAGCCAGGGCATGAACCAGGGCCTTCTCAGGAGAGACAGGAACCCCAGCCCTCAGCAGGCAGCTCACCAGGAGGCTGGAGGGAGATGCGGGGGAGGGGGTGGTGGAGGTGGGGGTCTCCAGGAGCAGGTCCAAACCCTGGGCTCTGAGATCCACAGTCTGGGCCTGGCGGTGCGCATGCTGGTGGAGCAGCAGTACCGGCTGGAGAGGGAGCAGGTCCAGCAGACCCATGTCCAGAGGCAGATTCTCAGCACCCTGCAGACCCTGGCCTCCAGACTGGAGGCACCCTGTACCAGCCTCCAGCAGCAACGACAGCATCCCAAAACTCCCCCACCCCCGGTCTTACCTGCCTCAGGCTCTGCCTCTGCCTCCTACAGCCAGGACACGTTCCCCTTCAGCCAAGGAGGGTATGCCCAGTGCAGCCAGGCCCAGCCCAGCTACAACGGGATGGACAGCTCCAGTCTGGAGACCATAGAGGCCTTCAAACTGTCCGGACTCAGCCCCAACGGCTTCCAGACGTGCAGCAGCAGTACCACCGATAGCCTCCCGCTCACTCACACCCCGACACACACACAGCCTTACACGTCATCCTACACACAGCAGCCACACACTCAAACACACATGCCCTCATGCACACAGTCTTACGCCACCACATACACGCAGTCGCACACGCAGTCCTATAGAGGAACAGACATTACAGACTATCCCAGCACCAGCACAGAGGGGGCTCTCCAGGACTGCATGGCCCCCACCCAGGCCTCTGTTGACCTGGACTCAGACATCACAGTCTCCCCACAGGAAACCCAGCTCAACATCATTAAAGTGGAGGCACTCTAAGGCTTTAGTTCGCTCATATCCAGAGCTTATAGGGACAGTTTCCTGGACACAGATTAAGCCTAGTCCTAGACTTAAAAGCATATTCAATGTATAATGGAAATTCTGGAAAAGGTTCTTTTTAGTCCAGAACTATGCTTTAATCGGTGTCTGGGAAACCAACCCCGTAGGGTTCAGTTCCATAGTTTAATCCAAAGTTGCTTCTGCTCGGTTCACATTTGTACATTTGATTATCCACTACCTCTCCTTTAGCCAAATGTTTCCGTACATGTTATGTCTTGGGTTTTTTAAAGGGATATTTTTAGCATGGGTCATAATTTTTTAACTGTGATATCCCAATCTCCATAGAAAATAATGCCACTTCATTGTCCATTCTGAAAGGGACATTAGTCCTCGAGCCTATCTACCATTTTTACATGAAACACTTTCTATTATCAAATCCCAAAGAGCAACACAGAAGCAATTATTTTCATTTGAACAATAATGCAATTTGATTATGTTGCCATCAGTCTTTACAGTACATAAAACTCTTCACCAATGCAACATCTCTGCTTCCTTCTGCTAGATCAGCCTTAAAGTGCAGAATGTCCTGTCTGTGTACAGAACTAAAGCTACTTGAATAAATTGCTACATAATATCCAACATGAGTCTTCATCTTGTTTATAAGTTAGGAAGTTATTTTGGTTGAAATATTTATGTCAGTGTTAAAGTGGAACTGGCAGCGTTTTAACTACTTTGTAGATATGAAACAAACAGACAATCATAATATCAGTCAAAAATATCAAATTCCCAGTGTATGCTTCAAAACCAACTTAATAAAACGTTTTAAAAATTGGTTCTATTTGACTCAAAAATCCATGACCTACAGTAAGATATTGTTGACAGAATATATGGATGCAGTTCAATGCATAATTAATATAATTCACCAATACATTTCTTGGTAGTCCAAAAAATATTGTTATCAGGTTGTAAATCACAGCTGGCCTGGTATATAGTTTGCTGCCGCCACCCATTCCGGATGCACCGTTTCAGTTTCAATGACTCAATATTTTGAACAAAAACGGACGACTACAACTAAGGCTGGGAATGTCAATACAATCAAACTAGCAAGGGCAATGATCACAAGTCAGTCATAACGTGGCTAATAGGCTAGCGTACATGTGTCAAACAAGGCCCGCGGGCCTAATAGGACACACACAAGCGAGTCTAAATGAGTCAAGAGTTGAGTCATTTACTTTATTCAATTACAGCCTGATGCGCAGCCGAGGGAAAGTGTATAGACACATGCCATTGTCCTACCAAACTACTAAAATGTTGCAGTCTGGCTTCGGTTTTTAAAGCTTGACAATGAATAACCAAAAAACAAAACACAATGCAAAATAGAAACATGTAGTCTTATTACAGCAACATTTGAGCAGTAACCTAGGTTGGCTACTCAACTACAATATACAGTATTTTGAGTGCACCATTGAGCAATGCTGCATTCAACTGCATAGGTGAACCATGTAGTGCAAAAAAATTTAAAACATGTTTTAAGTTTAAATGTTACAACAACCCATAAAGTTATTTGGAGTTAAATACTTTTTGATTATGGTTGCAGCATGTTATGCACATCTCTGCAAGCATAGCAGCAAAGGCTGGACAAACATTATTTATCTCTGGTTTTAATATGTTAAAATGCGACAGCATTATGTACATAAGTGGACATTATAAAGGGCCATATTTATCCTAATAAAACAATGGCCAGTTTGGGTCGCAGTTGCACGTAAAAAAACAAATAGGCTATGTCTGGTCCGCGAATTCGTTTTTTTCCCCCTCTATATGCACTGATGGAATTTGACAACCCTGGGCTAGCGTATCTAATTATGTAACTAGCTACTTATTTAGCAAGCTAAAAACACAGAGCCAACGCTAGCTAGCTGCTGGGAGGATGTCATGTCATTGGAGGAGTGGGTGAGTGACCGACATTTACCCCTCATATCGTTTTTCGTTGGCCACAGCTAGAGATGCTGCCGGTGTCATTTGGTACGCGTTCCATTGGAAATGAATCTACTAGCTATGCTGAACTTGAACAAATGTATTTGGCATCGATCAAATGGGTCGGCAGGCAGGCAAGTTCCCATTCAGTTGTCCAAACGTGGGTTGGGACATGCATGCATTGGCAGGCAAGCAAGCTGCAGAAGGACGAGCAGGCTACTATTCCCCATATTTTATCAGTCAAATTTTGACGGCCAACTAGCTGAAATGGTTTGAGAGGGTTTATTACATTTTACATTTTAGTCATTTAGCAGACGCTCTTATACAGAGCGACTTACAGTTTTAGTGAGTGCATACATTTTTCATACTACATGACCAAAAGTATGTGGACACCTGCTCGTCGAACATCTCATTCCAAAATCATGGGCATTAATATGGAGTTGGTGCCCCCTTTGCTGCTATAATCAAACTATAATATAATATTTATCAAACGTTCCCTTGTTAGATTTGAGCTCATCTTGCTGTGGCTAGCATTAGTTGTTGATGTGCATAGGTAACTGAGGGAGAAAGAGCCTACCTTGTCATGGTTGTTTGATCAATAGGATTGTGAAGATCCCAAATGTAAGAGGACTCCCGTGGTGGTATTTACATATTTGCATAAATCCATTCACGTGGCTTTTGGCGAATGGGTTCTAATGATCTAAAGTCGCGCTGTTGCTAGTGCTACTGCCTGTAAATACACAGTCCAGTTCAAAGTGAATGTTGGCTGGCCCTTGTGGCAACTGGCTTATTTGCATATAGGCCTACTGTAGCTTTGATTGGCTATGGTGCACCTGTCTGTGTAGACTCCAGTCCTGGACAGGACAGATGTTTTAATTAGGTTTTATAAACTGGGTGGTTCGAGCCCTGAATGTCGATTGGCTGACAGCCGTGGTATATCAGACCAATATACCACGGGTTATGACAAAACAGTTATTTGTATTGCTCTAATTACGTTGGTAACCCGTTTATAATAGCAATAAGGCTCCTTGGGGTTTGTGGTATATAGCCAACATACCACGGCTAAGGGCTGTATCCAGGCACTCCGCGTTGTGTCATGGTTAAGAACAAACCTTAGCCGTGGTATATTGGCCATATACCACACCCCCTCGGGCCTTATTGCTTAATTATTTAATGCAGTGTATGTTCATTGTCCAAACGCACGGCCGCTTTCCCACTCTATATTGCTATAGAATTTTCACAAATGCCTTACTATATGAATTTATGATAACGTGAAAATGACCATATCTAAGTGCTCGATTGTCAGAAGATATAAAAAAAGGTGTCATATTCTTCCTGGGGGTGTATATGAACATATTTCATGTTGCTGAAATGCTTATAGTTCCACTTTAAACCTTTATTAACAGTTTTGGTGAAATCTTCTAGTTGACCGTTCTACATTGCTGCACAGTGATTGGTTCCACTGAGCACAGACAGCAATTCAATATCTATTCCACGTTGGTTCAACTTAATTTATTTTGGTGAATGACAATGACTCCAGGATTTTTGGAGTCGACTCCAATTCCAACTCGTTGGAGTTGACTCGCTCCAAACTCCGACTCCAATTTGACAAAATGGACCAAAATTTGCCGAACTGCTGCCGATGTCAAGCACACTCATGAACTGTATTATTGATTAGCAATACATATGGAGCCTTCTGACACTCTACTAACCAATAGTCAAAGGCTAATCAGCAGCCTACATCTTAGCTTATCTTTGGGGTGTATCCAACTTAGCAATATACCATAAATTTCTTGTCAATGACTCAATATTTTGAACAAAAACGGACGACTACAACTAAGGCTGGGAATGTCAATACAATCAAACTAGCAAGGGCAATGATCACAAGTCAGTCATAACGTGGCTAATAGGCTAGCGTACATGTGTCAAACAAGGCCCGCGGGCCTAATAGGACACACACAAGCGAGTCTAAATGAGTCAAGAGTTGAGTCATTTACTTTATTCAATTACAGCCTGATGCGCAGCCAAGGGAAAGTGTATAGACACATGCCATTGTCCTACCAAACTACTAAAATGTTGCAGTCTGGCTTCGGTTTTTAAAGCTTGACAATGAATAACCAAAAAACAAAACCTGCAACAAAACACAATGCAAAATAGAAACATGTAGGCTTATTACAGCAACATTTGAGCAGTAACCTAGGTTGGCTACTCAACTACAATATACAGTATTTTGAGTGCACCATTGAGCAATGCTGCATTCAACTGCATAGGTGATCCATGTAGTGCAAAAAAATGTAAAACATGTTTTAAGTTTAAATGTTACAACAACCCATAAAGTTGTTGTTATTTGGAGTTAAATACTTTTTGATTATGGTTGCAGCATGTTATGCACATCTCTGCAAGCATAGCAGCAAAGGCTGGACAAACATTATTTATCTCTGGTTTTAATATGTTAAAATGCGACAACATTATGTACATAAGTGGACATTATAAAGGGCCATATTTATCCTAATAAAACAATGGGCCGTTTGGGTCGCAGTTGCACGTAAAAAAACAAATAGGCTATGTCTGGTCCGCGAATTCGTTTTTTTCCCCCTCTATATGCACTGATGGAATTTGACAACCCTGGGCTAGCGTATCTAATTATGTAACTAGCTACTTATTTAGCAAGCTAAAAACACAGAGCCAACGCTAGCTAGCTGCTGGGAGGATGTCATGTCATTGGAGGAGTGGGTGAGTGACCGACATTTACCCCTCATATCGTTTTTCGTTGGCCACAGCTAGAGATGCTGCCGGTGTCATTTGGTACGCGTTCCATTGGAAATGAATCTACTAGCTATGCTGAACTTGAACAAATGTATTTGGCATCGATCAAATGGGTCGGCAGGCAGGCAAGTTCCCATTCAGTTGTCCAAACGTGGGTTGGGACATGCATGCATTGGCAGGCAAGCAAGCTGCAGAAGGACGAGCAGGCTACTATTCCCCATATTCTATCAGGCAAAATTTGACGGCCAACTAGCTGAAATCGTTTGAGAGGGTTTATTACATTTTACATTTTAGTCATTTAGCAGACGCTCTTATACAGAGCGACTTACAGTTTTAGTGAGTGCATACATTTTTCATACTACATGACCAAAAGTATGTGGACACCTGCTCGTCGAACATCTCATTCCAAAATCATGGGCATTAATATGGAGTTGGTGCCCCCTTTGCTGCTATAATCAAACTATAATATAATATTTATCAAACGTTCCCTCGTTAGATTTGAGCTCATCTTGCTGTGGCTAGCATTAGTTGTTGATGTGCATAGGTAACTGAGGGAGAAAGAGCCTACCTTGTCATGGTTGTTTGATCAATAGGATTGTGAAGATCCCAAATGTAAGAGGACTCCCGTGGTGGTATTTACATATTTGCATAAATCCATTCACGTGGCTTTTGGCGAATGGGTTCTAATGATCTAAAGTCGCGCTGTTGCTAGTGCTACTGCCTGTAAACACACAGTCCAGTTCAAAGTGAATGTTGGCAGGCCCTTGTGGCAACTGGCTTATTTGCATATATGCCTACTGTAGCTTTGATTGGCTATGGTGCACCGGTCTGTGTAGACTCCAGTCCTGGACAGGACAGATGTTTTTAATTAGGTTTTATAAACTGGGTGGTTCGAGCCCTGAATGTCGATTGGCTGACAGCCGTGGTATATCAGACAATATACCACGGTTATGACAAAACAGTTATTTGTATTGCTCTAATTACGTTGGTAACCCGTTTTATAATAGCAATAAGGCACCTCTGGGGTTTGTGGTATATAGCCAACATACCACGGCTAAGCGCTGTATCCAGGCACTCCGCGTTGCGTCGTGTTAAGAACAAACCTTAGCCGTGGTATATTGGCCATATACCACACCCCCTCGGGCCTTATTGCTTAATTATTTAATGCAGTGTATGTTCATTGTCCAAACGCACGGCCGCTTTCCCACTCTATATTGCTATAGAATTTTCACAAATGCCTTACTATATGAATTTATGATAACGTGAAAATGACCATATCTAAGTGCTCGATTGTCAGAAGATATAAAAAAAGGTGTCATATTCTTCCTGGGGGTGTATATGAACAGATTTTATTAATATTTCATGTTGCTGAAATGCTTATAGTTCCACTTTAAACCTTTATTAACAGTTTTGGTGAAATCTTCTAGTTGACCGTTCTACATTGCTGCACAGTGATTGGTTCCACTGAGCACAGACAGCAATTCAATATCTATTCCACGTTGGTTCAACTTAATTTATTTTGGTGAATGACAATGACTCCAGGATTTTTGGAGTCGACTCCAATTCCAACTCGTTGGAGTTGACTCGCTCCAAACTCCGACTCCAATTTGACAAAATGGACCAAAATTTGCCGAACTGCTGCCGATGTCAAGCACACTCATGAACTGTATTATTGATTAGCAATACATATGGAGCCTTCTGACACTCTACTAACCAAATAGTCAAAGGCTAATCAGCAGCCTACATCTTAGCTTATCTTTGGGGTGTATCCAAGCTTAGCAAAGTCAATCATCATCTAGCCGTTATCAATAACTGACACTGTTAGTGTTATGTACCTTTGGTTGGCCCGTTTGAATAGGACAAGAAAGCTTAAAGGTGCAATAAGTTGGATTTTCGTGCCCACATTTACCCAAATGTATTATATGTAAATAGTAATTAGTAGCTAATGTGGCTAATGCTAACCACTAGCTAACGTCAATGGACAATGAGTAGCTTAAACTAGCCACCAGCTAGCTAGCGAACAGTTTGTAAATAACTTTACTTCACGCAATACTTTTTGGCTGCGTTTACACAGGCAGCCCAATTCTGGTATTTTGCCTAATTGTAGGCAAAAGAGCTGATCTGGTTGGTCAAATGACCAAATAGTGGAAAAAGATCAGAATTGGGCTGCCTGTGTAAATGCAGTCTCCTTCAATAACTGGTACCGCTCATGGAGGGAAAGTAGGCAGCCGAACTTCCACTCCTGCTGGAGCTAGCTAGCTAGTTAGTGGTTAGTGTTAGCCATATTCCCTAGCTAGAACAAATAACTAAGTATGCTTGCTAGTCATATAAAAACATGCCCACAAGGTTGCATACTCAGTAGTGTCAACTACTGATAACATTAGCTAGATAACTGATTGACTTTGCTTAGCAACAGCTGTCCAGTCCCAGACAAGGCAGGACAGCAAGCAAAAAAATAAACATTCTGTACATACATAATAGCAGTGCTTTGTATCAATCAATTACATTGTCGGAATATATAGCAGTCAAATTCAACCAAAACCATTAAGGGACGAATCTCTCATCTCAGACCTGGCTCACAGCACAGCGGGTGAGGTAACCTATTTCAGCATGTTTGTCTAAAGTGGAGCATTTGTTTTAAGTCATGTATAATATACATTAGGCCCAGACTCTGAACCCCACGGCCGGTGTCAGGTCCAGATCATCCTCTGTTACTCCAGGAGGAGGAGTGAAACTAAAGTGCTGCAGGAGGGAGGTGAAGAAGAGGAAGAGCTCCATCCTGGCCAGACCCTCCCCCTGACACACCCTACGACCTGGAAGAAGATAACATCAAACCAAATCAAATTGTATTTGTCACATACACGTGATTAGCAGATGTTATAGCGGGTGTAGCGAAATGCTTGTGCTTCTAGCTCCGACAGTGCAGTAATATCTAACAAGTAATATCTAACAATTTCACAACATTATACCTAATACACACAAAACTAGTAAGGAATGGAATTTAAGGAAATATACATATATGGACAAGCAATGACAGAGCGGCATGGACTAAGATACATTAGAATTTTATAGAATAGAATGCAGTATATACATATGAGATGAGTAGTGCAAGATATGTAAACATTATTAAAGTGACTAGTGTTCCATTTCTTAAAGTGGCCAGGGATTTCAATAGGCAGCAGCAGCCTTTAATGTGCTAGTGATGGCTATTTAACAGTCTGATGGCCTTGAGATAGAAGCTGTTTTTCATTATCTCGGTCCCAGCTTTGATGCACCTGTACTGACCTCGCCTTCTGGATGATAGCGGGGTGAACAGGCAGTGGCTCGGGTGGTTGATGTCCTTGATGATCTTTTTGGCCTTCCTGTGACATCGGGTGCTGTAGGTGTCTTGGAGGGCGGGTAGTTTGCCCCCGATAATGTGTTCGGCAGACTGCACCACCCTCTGGAGCCCGCTGCGGTTGCGGGCGGTGCAGTTGCCGTACCAGGTGGTGATACAGCCCGACAGGATGCTCTCAATTGTGCATCTGTAAAAGTTTGTGAGGGTTTTAGGTGCCAAGCCAAATTTCTTCAGCCTTCTGAGGTTGAAGAGGGTCTGTTGCGCCTTCTTCACCACACTCTGCGTGGGTGGACCATTTCAGTTTGTCGCTGATGTGTACGCCAAGGAACTTGAAGCTTTCCACCTTCTCCACTGCGGTACCGTCGATGTGGATAGGTGGGTGCACCCTCTGTTGTTTCCTGAAGGTTATTTTCCTGGCACCACACTCCCAGAGCCCTCACCTCCTCCCTGTAGGCGGTCTCGTCATTGTTGGTAATCAAGCCTACTACTGTTGTGTCGTCTGCAAACTTGATGATTGAGTTGGAGACATGCTTGGCCACGCAGTCATGGGTGAACAGGGAGTACAGGAGGGGGCTGAGCACGCACCCTTGTGGGGCCCCAGTGTTGAGGATCAGCGAAGTGAAGATGTTGTTTCCTACCTTCACCACCTGGGGACGGCCCGTCAGGAAGTCCAGGACCCAGTTGCACAGGGCTGGGTTCAGATCCAGGGCCTCAAGCTTGATGATGAGCTTGGAGGGTACTATGGTGTTGAATGCTGAGCTATAGTCAATGAACAGCATTCTTACATGAGGAAGACAACATGAGGACAATACATCTACACCTATTGGTTCCTATAGTTGACAAATATCAATACTGTCATCAATATAGCTTCCATCCCCTCAACTCTCTCTGGGCCAAAGCAATGAGCACCATAGAAGGATATCTGATTTATTTCATTGCTGAATAGTGTCAATAAAGAAACAAAACAGTTGAACTCACCTGCAGAGAAGGGCATGAAGGCATCCCATCAACGAATCAACCTTCCTCATCCGTGGTCCTCTGTAGCTCAATTGGTAGAGCATGGCGCTTGTAACGCCAGGGTAGTGGGTTCGATCCCGGGACCACCCATACGTAAAAATGTATGCACACATGACTGTAAGTCGCTTTGGATAAAAGCGTCTGCTAAATGGCATATTATTATTATTATTATTATTATTATTATTATTATCCAGAAAGTGTGTGGGGTTAAAGGTGTGTGGGCTCTCCCATTTGCATCTGTCTTGTAGGACAGACGTAAGTAGAGGAAACACAAGCGTCCCCTTCTTGATGAAATATCCCTGGAAGGTGATGTCTCGGCTGGTGGTGTGAAGGATGGCCATGGGTGCAATGTTGGCCAGTCTCTGGATCTCATGGATCACTGCATCAGCGTAGGGCAGGTTCTTCCTGTCCTCTACCAAGGGCTGACGACTTCCTATGAGCCTGTTGATGTTTTCCTGCACCCGGTCTGTAAATTAAAGAAAGAGGGAGGTACAAAGTTAATATAAAATCTGAATGATCTTTACCCTGGATCTGTTACCTTGGCTGCAATTCAAAGACCTGTGGTTCAAGTGGTAAATGTGCCAATGTTTACAGCAAGTAACACAATGATTATCTTGCATCACTACAATCATGCAATGTCTGTACAAGTTACTAAGGTTTATGTGTCAGGTTGGCCATTAGCAGCAGACCCCAGTGCAAGGTGGTGTCAGTACCAGCAGAAAACAGGTTGGCCACAGACTATCAGATTCTCATTGTGGTAATGAGAGTCCATGATGCCTGATTCCTTACATACACAAACAAACACAGGTAATGTTTCAGCAAACAAGAACAGTTATTTCAACTGTTTTTAATAAAACGTATATATTTCTTTTTTTATGTGTGTGGGGGCTACCACCGGACTCCCCTAGTTATTAATTCTAAGACGTTACCTGTAAAAAGTCTCCATACCTCCAGGGTTTGCTTTCGGATGAGGAACGAGTCCACGAATCCTCTACACATCTAAAGGTTGAAAGTCTCCTTCAGGCCCCTCACCAGCTCCCTCATCTCCTTCTTGTTGTCCATTTTCATGACTAGCGTCCTGATCTTCAACAATGGGTCCAGCCATGGAAACATGTTATACAACAATTTCCCCATAAACAAAAATGAAAGCAATAATTCACTTTTATTTTGTCTGGATATTATAATTGAAATAATCAAATCAAAATGTCACATGCACCGAATACAACAGGTGTAGACCTTACAGTGAAATGCTTGCTTACAAGCCCTTAACCAACAATGCAGTTTTAAGAAAAATAAGTGTGAAGTAAACAATAGGGTAAGTAAAAAATAAAAGCAGTAAAATAACAGTAAAAATAACAGTAGCGAGGCTAATATACAGGGGGTACCGGTAACAGAGTCAATGTGTGGGGCCACCGGTTAGTCGAGGTAATTGAGGTAATATGTACATGTAGGTAGAGTTAATTGACTATGCATAGATAATAAACAGAGAGTAGCAGCAGCGTAAGGGTGGGGGCTGGAGGGGGACAATGCAAATAGTTCGGGTAGCCATTTGATTAGCTGTTCAGGAGTCTTATGGCTTGGGGGTAGAAGCTGTTAAGAAGCCTTTTGGACCTATAGACTTGGTGCTCCGGTACCGCTTGCCGTGCGGTAACAGAGAGAACGTCTATGACTAGAGTGGCTGGATTCTTTGACAATTTTTAGGGCCTTCCTCTGACACTACTGGTATAGAGGTCCTGGATGGCAGGAAGCTTGGCTGTACTGATGTACTGGGCCGTACGCACTACCCTCTGTAGTGCCTTGCGGTCGGATGCCGAGCTTGACCGATCCACTAGTGGCTGATCTACAAGTTATCTAACGGACGAATGCTTGTGCTTCTAGCTCGACATGCGTAATATAACAGATATCTAACAATTCACAACTTATCCCTAATACACACAAAACTAGTAAGGAATGGAATTTAAGAAAATATACATATATGGACAAGCAATGACAGAGCGGCATGGACTAAGATACATTAGAATTTTATAGAATAGAATGCAGTATATACATATGAGATGAGTAGTGCAAGATATGTAAACATTATTAAAGTGACTAGTGTTCCATTTCTTAAAGTGGCCAGGGATTTCAATAGGCAGCAGCAGCCTCTAATGTGCTAGTGATGGCTATTTAACAGTCTGATGGCCTTGAGATAGAAGCTGTTTTTCATTCTCTCGGTCCCAGCTTTGATGCACCTGTACTGACCTCGCCTTCTGGATGATAGCGGGGTGAACAGGCAGTGGCTCGGGTGGTTGATGTCCTTGATGATCTTTTTGGCCTTCCTGTGACATCGGGTGCTGTAGGTGTCTTGGAGGGCGGGTAGTTTGCCCCCGATAATGTGTTCGGCAGACCGCACCACCCTCTGGAGAGCCCTGCAGTTGCGGGCGGTGCAGTTGCCGTACCAGGTGGTGATACAGCCCGACAGGATGCTCTCAATTGTGCATCTGTAAAAGTTTGTGAGGGTTTTAGGTGCCAAGCCAAATTTCTTCAGCCTTCTGAGGTTGAAGAGGGTCTGTTGCGCCTTCTTCACCACACTCTGCGTGGGTGGACCATTTCAGTTTGTCGCTGATGTGTACGCCAAGGAACTTGAAGCTTTCCACCTTCTCCACTGCGGTACCGTCGATGTGGATAGGTGGGTGCACCCTCTGTTGTTTCCTGAAGGTTATTTTCCTGGCACCACACTCCCAGAGCCCTCACCTCCTCCCTGTAGGCGGTCTCGTCATTGTTGGTAATCAAGCCTACTACTGTTGTGTCGTCTGCAAACTTGATGATTGAGTTGGAGACATGCTTGGCCACGCAGTCATGGGTGAACAGGGAGTACAGGAGGGGGCTGAGCACGCACCCTTGTGGGGCCCCAGTGTTGAGGATCAGCGAAGTGAAGATGTTGTTTCCTACCTTCACCACCTGGGGACGGCCCGTCAGGAAGTCCAGGACCCAGTTGCACAGGGCTGGGTTCAGATCCAGGGCCTCAAGCTTGATGATGAGCTTGGAGGGTACTATGGTGTTGAATGCTGAGCTATAGTCAATGAACAGCATTCTTACATGAGGAAGACAACATGAGGACAATACATCTACACCTATTGGTTCCTATAGTTGACAAATATCAATACTGTCATCAATATAGCTTCCATCCCCTCAACTCTCTCTGGGCCAAAGCAATGAGCACCATAGAAGGATATCTGATTTATTTCATTGCTGAATAGTGTCAATAAAGAAACAAAACAGTTGAACTCACCTGCAGAGAAGGGCATGAAGGCATCCCATCAACGAATCAACCTTCCTCATCCGTGGTCCTCTGTAGCTCAATTGGTAGAGCATGGCGCTTGTAACGCCAGGGTAGTGGGTTCGATCCCCGGGACCACCCATACGTAAAAATGTATGCACACATGACTGTAAGTCGCTTTGGATAAAAGCGTCTGCTAAATGGCATATTATTATTATTATTATTATTATTATTATTATTATCCAGAAAGTGTGTGGGGTTAAAGGTGTGTGGGCTCTCCCATTTGCATCTGTCTTGTAGGACAGACGTAAGTAGAGGAAACACAAGCGTCCCCTTCTTGATGAAATATCCCTGGAAGGTGATGTCTCGGCTGGTGGTGTGAAGGATGGCCATGGGTGCAATGTTGGCCAGTCTCTGGATCTCATGGATCACTGCATCAGCGTAGGGCAGGTTCTTCCTGTCCTCTACCAAGGGCTGACGACTTCCTATGAGCCTGTTGATGTTTTCCTGCACCCGGTCTGTAAATTAAAGAAAGAGGGAGGTACAAAGTTAATATAAAATCTGAATGATCTTTACCCTGGATCTGTTACCTTGGCTGCAATTCAAAGACCTGTGGTTCAAGTGGTAAATGTGCCAATGTTTACAGCAAGTAACACAATGATTATCTTGCATCACTACAATCATGCAATGTCTGTACAAAGTTACTAAGGTTTATGTGTCAGGTTGGCCATTAGCAGCAGACCCCAGTGCAAGGTTGTCCCGGTGGTGTCAGTACCAGCAGAAAACAGGTTGGCCACAGACTATCAGATTCTCATTGTGGTAATGAGAGTCCATGATGCCTGATTCCTTACATACACAAACAAACACAGGTAATGTTTCAGCAAACAAGAACAGTTATTTCAACTGTTTTTAATAAAACGTATATATTTCTTTTTTTATGTGTGTGGGGGCTACCACCGGACTCCCCTAGTTATTAATTCTAAGACGTTACCTGTAAAAAGTCTCCATACCTCCAGGGTTTGCTTTCGGATGAGGAACGAGTCCACGAATCCTCTACACATCTAAAGGTTGAAAGTCTCCTTCAGGCCCCTCACCAGCTCCCTCATCTCCTTCTTGTTGTCCATTTTTCATGACTAGCGTCCTGATCTTCAACAATGGGTCCAGCCATGGAAACATGTTATACAACAATTTCCCCATAAACAAAAATTAAAGCAATAATTAACTTTTATTTTGTCTGGATATTATGATTGAAATAATCAAATCAAAATGTCACATGCACCGAATACAACAGGTGTAGACCTTACAGTGAAATGCTTGCTTACAAGCCCTTAACCAACAATGCAGTTTTAAGAAAAATAAGTGTGAAGTAAACAATAGGTAAGTAAAAAATAAAAGCAGTAAAATAACAGTAAAAATAACAGTAGCGAGGCTATATACAGGGGGTACCGGTACAGAGTCAATGTGTGGGGCCACCGGTTAGTCGAGGTAATTGAGGTAATATGTACATGTAGGTAGAGTTAAATTGACTATGCATAGATAATAAACAGAGAGTAGCAGCAGCGTAAGGGTGGGGGCTGGAGGGGGACAATGCAAATAGTTCGGGTAGCCATTTGATTAGCTGTTCAGGAGTCTTATGGCTTGGGGGTAGAAGCTGTTAAGAAGCCTTTTGGACCTATAGACTTGGTGCTCCGGTACCGCTTGCCGTGCGGTAACAGAGAGAACAGTCTATGACTAGAGTGGCTGGATTCTTTGACAATTTTTAGGGCCTTCCTCTGACACTACTGGTATAGAGGTCCTGGATGGCAGGAAGCTTGGCTGTACTGATGTACTGGGCCGTACGCACTACCCTCTGTAGTGCCTTGCGGTCGGATGCCGAGCAGTTGCCATACCAGGCAGTGATGTAACCAGTCAGGATACTCTCGATGGTGCAACTGTATAACTGTTTGAGGATCTGAGGACCCATGCCGAATCTTTTCAGTATCCTGAGGGGGAATAGGCTTTGTCGTGCCCTCTTCACAACTGTCTTGGTGTGTTTGGACCATGATAGTTCGTTGGTGATGTGGACATCAAGGAACTTGAAGCTCTCAACCTGCTGCACTACAGCCCCGTCGATGAGAATGGGGGCGTGCTCAGTCCTCTTTTCCTGTAGTCCACAATCATCTCCTTTGTCTTGATCACGTTGATGGAGAGGTTGTTATCCTGGCACCACACGGCTAGGTCTCTGACCTACTCCCAATAGGCTGTCTCATCGTTGTCGGTGATCAGGCCTACCACTGTTGTGTCATCGGCAAACTTATTGATGGTGTTGGAGTCGTGCCTGGCCATGCAGTCATGGGTGAACAGGGAGTACAGGAGGGGACTGAGGTGTTGAGGATCAGCGTGACAGATGTGTTGTTACCTACCCTTACCACCTGGGGGCGGCCCGTCAGGAAGTCCAGGATCCAGTTGCAGAGGGAGATGTTTAGTCCCAGGATCCTTAGTTTAGAATAATCTAGCCTAGTGTGACCAGTCTGTCATTGTTCTCAAAGTAATCATCATCATAAGCACGGTACAATACCTGTACTGAAACAGAGCCTCCAAGTTGGATGGTCTCATTGGCTCGATCCATCATGCCTTAGAACTGGGGATCAGAGTTTTCAAACCTGCTGCCAAACACAATGTTGCAGATAATGTTGGAGACTGCGTAATTCATTTGCTTGGTTGTGTCAAATGCCTTACCTGTGACAAAGACCAACAACAGAATCGAAATAAGAAAAACTGAGATTGCGCAATACAAATGTAAACGTAATTTCCGATTGAGCCGACATATGCAGAATCTACCGTGAATGCAGTCTCTGCTAGTGCCAACGCAGGAACATTGCCTTTAAATTTCATTCACGCTGTAACGCTGAACCTCCACGATACGGATTGAATAAAGCCCTTAGACTTGTTTTGATTATGTTTCTGATATCAGAACTTCAAACTCTTACCATTGTGTACTTCAAACAGGTAGCGAACGTCCTCTATGACCTTCTCTTCACTTGCTTTCTTACCCATGCCAAAGTCTCTAAGGTTTGTCAGGGCAAAGCGTCTCATCTCTTTCCATGAGTCTCCATTGGCAAACAGAATCCCTATAGAAAAGTACAGTGAAACAATATTGTTCTTGTGGAGTAATTGAGTGAAATTCGTACAGGAATCAAGATCTCTTTTCAGAAGCACAGATTAATGGAAGTAGCAGGTTTCATACAAAATCTGTTTTTTTATCTTCATAGTTTAATATAGTCAGAAGTAGGGTTGCAAAGGGAAGGTATATTACTGGAGACTTTCGAAGTTTACCAGTAAACTACCAGAAGTTTGGTAGCTTTCTATGTTTAAAACATATATATAGATATATATCAGATGATATCTAGTGGCCTTTTGGGGTACTTCTGCTCATCACAGGTGTTTGTAATGTTCTCTGGCCCTCTTTGTGGCCTTATCACATGTAAAATATATAAAATAATCAAATAAGATTATGAAGAAAATGAATGAAAAAGCTTTAAAACATTATCCTAAATATAAACGACCGACTTAGTGAATAACATTGGTGTTTTAATATGAGGGTTTCAGTATGAAATATCCTTTATATTTATTTTTACACACTTTAATTAATTTTATTATGTCAGTGTCTTTGTTGTAAATGTTTTGGAGCAAACTGGTGGCAGTTGTAAAAAACTAAATAGTTGGAAGAGTTGCAGAGTTAATTGAAAATAATGCCATTGTTGATTAGATGCTTTTTTCATTGAGGCTTTTTGTTACAGGAGTGGGTCGCAGTTCCGGGGCGACCCACTAAGTGTCATCCTCCGACAACCATAGGCGGCACCTCACTCACAGTTGGGACTAATTATCTGCCTATTGGTGTCACCTGTGGCTCTGATTCACCTGTGTATTTACGCCCTCACTTCCCTGTGTTCCCTTGCTCAGTTTTCTCTGCTCATTCCTTTATGTCAAGCAGTATGTATATGTGTCGGATCACATGACGGAGTTACAGGTACTCGAGAAGTGTTCTCCCTGTGTCATTGTGTTTTCCAGTCAGAGTTAGTATTTCGTATTGTTTGCTGTCAGCCTGTTTTTTGGAGACCTATGTGCTCCTCATTTGTTTTCGTGTATAGTCCATTGTTTTGTATCCTGGCTTTTGGACCACCAGTAAAGATCCTTGTTTCACCATCCTTGCCTACTGTCTATCCTGCACCGCACCTGGGTCACACCCCACACCAACCCTTACAGCTTTTCTCTTCAACCTTATGGTCTATCCACTAGAAATCTCTGGATTCCATTTTTTTTCAAAGTAATTTAAGTATAAATTCCCAAAGTTGCCATAGATGACTTGTTTATTACCAAAATTACTGAAGATTCCAGTACCTTTGGTAATTTACTGGTAGCTTTGCAACCCTAGTCAGGAGAGAATAACAGATTTGTCAGATATTTAGGGTGGTGTTTACAGTATAGCACCAACCATACAGTGGGGGGAAAAAAGTATTTAGTCAGCCACCAATTGTGCAAGTTCTCCCACTTAAAAAGATAAGAGAGGCCTGTAATTTTCATCATAGGTACACGTCAACTATGACAGACAAAATGAGAAAAGACAATCCAGAAAATCACATTGTAGGATTTTTAATGAATTTATTTGCAAATTATGGTGGAAAAATAAGTATTTGGTCAATAACAAAAGTTTCTCAATACTTTGTTATATACCCTTTGTTGGCAATGACACAGGTCAAACGTTTTCTGTAAGTCTTCACAAGGTTTCCACACACTGTTGCTGGTATTTTGGCCCATTCCTCCATGCAGATCTCCTCTAGAGCAGTGATGTTTTGGGGCTGTCGCTGGGCAACACGGACTTTCAACTCCCTCCAAAGATTTTCTATGGGGTTGAGATCTGGAGACTGGCTAGGCCACTCCAGGACCTTGAAATGCTTCTTACGAAGCCACTCCTTCGTTGCCCGGGCGGTGTGTTTGGGATCATTGTCATGCTGAAAGACCCAGCCACGTTTCATCTTCAATGCCCTTGCTGATGGAAGGAGGTTTTCACTCAAAATCTCACGATACATGGCCCCATTCATTCTTTCCTTTACACGGATCAGTCGTCCTGGTCCCTTTGCAGAAAAACAGCCCCAAAGCATGATGTTTCCACCCCCATGCTTCACAGTAGGTATGGTGTTCTTTGGATGCAACTCAGCATTCTTTGTCCTCCAAACACGACGAGTTGAGTTTTTACCAAAAAGTTTGATTTTGGTTTCATCTGACCATATGACATTCTCCCAATCCTCTTCTGGATCAGCCAAATGCACTCTAGCAAACTTCAGACGGGCCTGGACATGTACTGGCTTAAGCAGGGGGACACGTCTGCACTGCAGGATTTGAGTCCCTGGCGGCGTAGTGTGTTACTGATGGTAGGCTTTGTTACTTTGGTCCCAGCTCTCTGCAGGTCATTCACTAGGTCCCCCCGTGTGGTTCTGGGATTTTTGCTCACCATTCTTGTGATCATTTTGACCCCACGGGGTGAGATCTTGCGTGGAGCCCCAGATCGAGGGAGATTATCAGTGGTCTTGTATGTCTTCCATTTCCTAATAATTGCTCCCACAGTTGATTTCTTCAAACCAAGCTGCTTACCTATTGCAGATGCAGTCTTCCCAGCCTGGTGCAGGTCTACAATTTTGTTTCTGGTGTCCTTTGACAGCTCTTTGGTCTTGGCCATAGTGGAGTTTGGAGTGTGACTGTTTGAGGTTGTGGACAGGTGTCTTTTATACTGATAGCAAGTTCAAACAGGTGCCATTAATACAGGTAACGAGTGGAGGACAGAGGAGCCTCTTAAAGAAGAAGTTACCTGTCTGTGAGAGCCAGAAATCTTGCTTGTTTGTAGTTGACCAAATACTTATATTCCACCATAATTTGTAAATAAATTCATAAAAAATCCTACAATGTGATTTTCTGGATTTTATTTTTTCAATTTGTCTGTCATAGTTGACGTGTACCTATGATGAAAATTGCAGGCCTCTCTCATCTTTTTAAGTGGGAGAACTTGCACAATTGGTGGCTGACTAAATACTTTTTTTCCCCACTGTACCTGTTTAATGGTCCATTGTCAAGTGCAACGTAGTTGGCCTGTGCACCAGTTAAGTTATCTGACCTTACATGTCCTTTGTTTAGTTCACTGAGCACAGGAGTGATGTCCCTGTCCCCAAACTCCTCTGCATGGTTTACCAGTGCCTGCTTGACCATCTTGTATCCTGCCACAACAACCACTTTTCTGGGTCCAAAGTGAATCATGAAGATGGAGACATATTTCTTGGAAAGCTGTTGAACATTAAAAGGACCAGCTTTATTAAGACAGATACGATCCTTTCATTTCAGAGCCAAATGCCTCATCAAATATGACTGGATGACCATCCGAGGTCTATGTTTGACATACAAGATTAGTATTTGGTTTATTGTGTTACCTCCCAGAAATGAATGACTGATAGTCTAAATACTGTAAGTCTGTCAATACCTAGAGAGGAGGTACTTGAAATTGAATAGTTCAATCAAGCAAGCTTTTGATTTATTGATCTCACCCCACAGATCTGTCAGTCTGGTAGGGCCTCTTAAAATCCAGCAGGAGCATGTTACCAAGCAGGGGCAGCGGGATGGTCCTGGAGGCTCCTTCCACTGTTCCTCAGAACTGGAAACAGAGGAGAGGAGGTAGAGGACCAGCAGAAACAGCACAGCCCCCAGCAGTGTCACCGTGCTCGATGTCTGGAGAAGACCTATAAGAGACCTCTTCAAACTCAGCTCTTATACCTTACACTGGGCTAAAAAGAGACTAATTGTGTTCACACAAAACAATAACTCTCTAAGAACTTCCTGCTCATTGATCTGCCTGTCCATGAAGGCACACCTTTTATAGAGGAATGGACAGCCACAGGGGAGGCTAGGCAGTTTTAAAAACATAGAATAATACTGCCAAGCCTAGACAGCACATGTCCTGCAGATCATTGAGTAAATTATAGTATGGTCTGATACCAGTGACTGTGGTTTATCATGTTCACTATATCTGTAAAGAAAACTCTCTCAAACCCTCTCTCTGGTCCTGGGACAAGAGACAAACTTTGGGATTCTCTAGCTGCTGTAGTACGCTCCCTAACCCCCAATTGGTTGTAAATCATCCGTTCACACTTCTGTTGCTAGGCCAGTTTTCTATGGTTGCCTTATCTAACTCTCCTGAACAAGTCAGCTTACTGGGGTCAACCAATTAGGTGTCCACCTGGGGTAGGAGAACCCCCAACGCTATCCCTGAGCTCCTCAGTCTCGCTCTGCAGCTTCAGGTTTCTAAACCTCCTGGCTGCATCAACAGAGGGCCTCACCTATGGACCTCCCACCCATGGACACTTTCCTTCACTCTGGACTTTCCCCAACATCATCGTGGTGTTAGTGCGTGAATACCATACAACCACAATTCACTATTCCATCAGTCCTCTTCCTGTCGCTGTGTGTGTGCCTGTCTGTTCAGCGTGGTAAGAAAGTGTGGATTCTATCCCTGTCTCCTAGTGGTCATTTACGTTCTCTAACCGGGACACTGGGGCAGTTGCACCTAAAATCGGAACCGACACCTCTTTTGGAGACCACCACATGGTGGCGCTCTTTTTCAATACTTGTCATCCTGAGAGATGTTCCGCTCTTTATTCAACTCTAATTTAAACACTGAATAGAATTTCTGACAAGTAGAAAAAGAATGAGGAACAAACTGATGGGGCGATTATGCAATAGCTAGGATATGTTTGTTTCTGATGTCACAGGGTTCCTCCTACACTTCCCTATAGGTGTATACCAATGAGTACAGAGAGCGCTGATTCAAACTTCACACTTAGATTTCGGTTGGACAGGCAAGTTACACAGAGGCAGACAACAGTTTCCAAACATTAGTGATCACCACCCCACCTTTGGACAACATCGGCCTCTGATTCTCAGGCTAATTTTAACAACTTTATTTATTTTAAATTCCATTGTAATCTTTTTGTATTTATATTTTGTTGTTGTAAGGATTAAGGCTTGGCTCAGTATGCTTTTCCAGGAATTCAGTTTCACCAGTTCAGTTCAATACTAGATATATTTTCTTTCAATTCATTAATAGTTACCAGCAAACACACATCCAAACCAAACACAGAAACAGAGAGATCATCTGAATGATCTTTAGCTTGGTTCAATAACCTGTGCTTCAGGCTGGCCCTTTGACAGCGTTTATAGCTGATAACACCAGTCTCTGTGTTGTGTCACTGTAAAAGGTCTTGGAGGGTTTTTATGCAGTCTAAAGGTCCCTACATAAAGGCTGTGTGTTTCTATTGGTCCTTACCCTAATTAGACACCTGTTACTGATATAAGTACTGGCGAATCCACTGTCACAAATAGACACATTTTAATATACTCACATTTTATTTATTAGGATTATATATTTTTTCATTAGTAGGAAATGGTTTGTTCTCTATAATTGACTTAAACATTTGAGTCCTCTTGCTCGCCGGTGTTGTGATGCAAAATGTCCAAACACATTTACTGTACCTAGCGCTGCATAGCAAGGTATTTCTACAGTATACAATAATAATGTCATTTAGCAGACGCTTTTATCCAAAGTGACTTACAGATAATTCACATAGATTATTCACAATACAATAAGCAATACAAAATAAATCAACATAGTCCTATGTTTGTCTAAAGTGGAAAGTTGTTCTAAGCAGTGTGTAATTGGTCCCAGACTCTCATCTCAGATCCGACTCACGGCGCACAGCTGGTGGGGTGAAGGATTGAGGGTGAACCCCAGTAATGGTGTCAGGTCCAGATCATCCTCTGTTACTCCAGGAGGAGGAGTGAAACTAAAGTGCTGCAGGAGGGAGGTGAAGAAGAGGAAGAGCTCCATCCTGGCCAGACCCTCCCCCAGACACACCCTACGACCTGCGAGAGAGACCAAAGATATAGAAAATAGCATGAAGTCTGTCCAAAAGGCTACCACAATTTCTCTACTTCTTGCAATGAAATAATTTGCTAAATGACAAAGTTGATATACCTGCAGAAAAGGCCATGAAGGCGTCCCTCTTGACGAATCGTCCCTGCTCATCCAGAAAGTGGGAGGGGTTAAAGCAGTGGGGGCTCTCCCATTCGCTATCGTCATGTAGGACGGACGTCAATAAAGGAATCACAGACGTCCCCTGCAGTGAGAGTGAAGCGTAGGACACCGTTATATATATAAAAGTGATGAGTGATGAAACTTTGTTTAATAAATAAAGTGCACACTCAAAAGGAGTGGATTGCAATCATTTCAGGACAACTAAAAAAAATACAAAAAAGAACTATTTTGGAAAGTCAGGTATCTGACCTTCTTGATGAAATATCCCTGGAAGGTGACGTCTCGGCTGGTGGCGTGAGGGATGGACATGGGTACAATATTGGCCAGTCTCTGGATCTCATGGATCACTGCATCAGTGTAGGGCAGGTTCTTCCTGTCCTCTACCAAGGGCTGACGACTTCCTATAACCCTGCTGATCTCCTCCTGGACCCGGTCTTGAAAAAAGACAGGAAAAGTGTTACTCTAACCCAGAGGTGAAAGGTTAATCTGAATGATCTTTAACCTGTTATCTGTTCAATAACCTGTGCTTCAGGTTGGCTTCTTGACAATTTTACTCCTGCCAACACTTTAAGTGTCTGTGTTTTGTGTCACAATGTAAAAGGTCTTGGACGGTTTTTTATTAAAGGCCCAGTGCAGTCAAACATTTTCCTGTGTTTTATATACATTTCCACACTATGAGGTTGAAATAATACTGTGAAATCGTGAAAATTATGATAATACTTTTAGTGTAAGAGTTGTTTGAAATTTCAGCCTGTTTTGGTGGGATGGAGTTTTGGCCTGACTGGTGACATCACCAGGCGGTAATTGAGTTAAACCAATAATAAAGACAGTTCCAAACCTCTCTGCCAATAACAGTTAGCATTTTCCGTTATACCCTCCCCACTCAGACCACTCCCAGACAGTCCTAGCAAAATTCTTGCTTGAGAAATTGCTCTTTGCAAAGAAGCCATTGGTTTCTTTTTTACCATTTTACTTTTAAAGAATCACAGTAGGGTACTTAATCGTTACCCAGAAATGTTTTGATATTGAGATAAAAACGGCTGCATTGGACTTTTAAGTATAAAGGTCCCTTTATAAAGGTTGTGTGTTTCTATTGGCCCTTACCCTGTATGTGGGGGTACTTGGCCATTAGCATCAGACCCCAGCGCAGGGTTGTCCCAGTGGTGTCGGTACCAGCAGCAAACAGGTTGGTCACAGAAGATATCAGGTTGTTTTCATGATAGTGAGAGTCCATATTTCCTGATTCCTGAAAGACACAGAGCCATGGGTTACATGAGTACTTATAGGCATCTATTCTAATGGATATCAAAGTTAGGTGTGGACATGAGAAGTTCCACTGGACATATTTTTTTATCCTTTATTTAACCAGAGAAGCCACATTGAGATTTTCATCTATTTTTCAAGTGAGCCCTAAGATGAGGGATTTGAGTTAGTTGTCATACCTCCACTTTCTGCTTTCGAACGAGGAATGAGTCCACAAAGCCTCTGCACATCTGAGGGTTGAGACTCTCCTTCAGGCCCCTCACCAACTCCTTTACATCCCTATGGTTGTTGTCGACATTTTTCAGCATAACCTTCCGACTCTTTAGCCACGGGCCCAGCCATGAAAACATGTTGTACAGCTATCTCACCATACAAAAAAGTAAAGTGTGAATAAAACAACTTTGTGAGTACAGTTTACTTACAGTATATTTTCACAACTTTGTTTAGAGCAGGGCTTTTCAATGTTGGTCCTGGAGGTCCGAAACACTTCTGGTTTTCATCCTCTCCTTCTATTTGATTTGATTTATTTAACCTTTATTTGTCTCATTGAGATCAAATCTATTTTTCATTAGGGACCTGGTCCAACCAAGACAGCAGCAGGGGGGAACAATGTTTGAGACATATCAGACATACTGTAACAACTTACAGACATAGACACACCATAGAAAATACAAAATACTGGGACACCAGGTGAGTGCAATTACGTACCAGGTAGAAACCAAAAACAGAAGTGTTTCGGCCCTCCAGGACCGGAATTGAACAGGCCTGATTTAGAGTGAATGTGAAGACAGTACCTGAATAGACGCAGAACCTGAAAGACGTATGCTCTCATTGGCTCTGTCCACCATGCCTCGAAACTGAGAATCAGAGTATTCAAACCTGCTGCCATACACAATGGCAGAGATTATGTTGGAGGCAGCGTAATTCACGGGCTGGGTTGTGTCAAATGCCTTACCTGCACAAAGAAAGACAAAAGAGGATGAGTAAAATATACATTTTTGAATATTCATTTTATATTACTACTACTGTACTACTAGTTGCTCTTACCCTTGTGTTTTTCAAATAGTTCAATCAGGTAAGGAATCTCCTCGATGATTTTCTCCTCTGCCCCTTTCTTGCCCATCCCAAAGTCTCTAAGGTTCGTCAGGGCAAAGCGCCTCATCTCTCTCCATGAGTCTCCATTGGCAAACAGAACCCCTGTGAAAAAAAAGCTTGTTTGAATAATTTCAAAGGACAGAATGTGTGATAATTAATTTTTGTTGGGCTAAACGCGTAGGTGAAATGTTATACTTAGTCAACTATCCAAGGACCAGTCATTCATAATTGTTTACCATGTCCTTGGTTGATGTCTCTGGACATGCGGGGGATGTCCCTATTCCCAAATTCCTCTGCCTGGTTGACCAACGCCTGCTTGACCGTCTTGTATCCTGCCAGAACAACCACTTTCTTGGGTCCAAAGTGAACCGTGAAAACGGACCCATATTTCTTGGAGAGCTGGAGCAATAGATTGAGCAGACAAAGGACTACTTGAGAACCACAATGTAAATCAGTCAGGGTGTTACTGGTCGTATCCGAATACCCATACATGCATCCTAAATAGTAGGCTGTTTGAGTATGCGAGAAAAAAAATGTTCGAAAATCTAGAATACTTTAAAATCCCCGGATGTCATACTCATTTCGGCTTTGACAACAGCTGATCAATTAGATATGGGGATGCGCTACCAAAATCAACGAATAGTGGGAAACAACGCAATCACGCATGACGCATTCTCAGTATGCGAAACTAGAATGTTTAATATAAGTAACAAATTATGAGTCATAATACCCATAAAACCTAGCAGTCAAACAGGGAAATGATTCCAATCGTTATCCCACCATTCATTTTTCCCATATGGGATTTTAGAAACATTTAAATTAAGGGCTGTGTTTTGTGTAGGCTTACCCTAGCATGACAACTGTGTAAATCTCTCTAGGACAAGGTGACTTTTACCTATATATTTGCTTGAATTTACCCCCCAAAAATGAAATGCTGATTAGCTGCTAATGTGACTATCATAAAGAGCTACAAATTCCATGATGATCTGGACGAGACTGACGAATCGAGGCAAAGGTAAGAATCTCTGGATTAACTATCTAATGTTAGATAAATGTAGTAATGAATAAATGTGCAACATTTCTTTAAATTGACAATTATGTGAACTGTCTTGTGCAAGTTTTAAATTGACATAATACCTGTTAGCAAAGGCTTTAGCTTGAGATGACATGCAGGAGCTTGAAGAGATTTGCAGTCTTGCATGATGTCTACTTTGATGCTAATTGGCGTTTTTGAATCTGAGAGTAAATAGAGCCAAATATATAAGTCACCTTGTCCTAGAGAGATTTATATGGTTATCAAAACGTCACGCCAGGGTAAGCCTACACGAAACACAGCCCTTATTTTAAGTGTTTCTAAAATCCCCAATGGAAAAATTGGAACCATTTCCTTGTTTGACCGCTAGGTTTTATGGGTATTATGAAACCTCCACTGTGGGGCTCTATAGTATGCGACATTTAGAAAATCGAGTATGGTTTAAATGCCAGGATGTTATACTCATTTCGGCTCGTTATCTAGTAGAATTCGATGCACAGTTTTCCACAATGCAATGGAAGAGGTGGGCTGCGAGTGATAGGCCCTAGTTCTCTTCAAGTAGCCAACAACAAAACTAGGCTACTTAATGGGGAAGATGCCCAAAGCTTCTGCAGTGGTGTTCAAATGTAGGCTAAGTAGTTTTTGTTCTCCTTAAAATTATCACCAGTATTGTATCGTAGGCTACATCTTTGAAAACAAGTTTTTTTATTACCCAAAGTGGATTTCTGTTTTCTCACTGAAAAGTGTTTCTTGTTCTCTTGGCCTTCATCAGAGATTTTAAACTAAATACTAAACCCCTCAATCTCAACTCTGGACCTCGAAGACAGTTCCACTGGGACTGATTTAGACCTGGGATACCAGGTGGGTGCAATTAATTACCAGGTAGAACAAAAAACCAGCAGGCTCTGGACCTCATAGGGTAAGAGTTGAATACCCCTGTACTAAACCATCTTTTGATTTCTGAATGTGTCAGCACCGGAGAATCGGGATGTGGCTGTGTTATTGATGTCATGTTAACCAGGCCTTTTGATTTGAACAGATTGTTTTAGTTTTGTAGCCTAGGCTACCTATGGAGTTATTATATTCAAGCCTTTGCAGTCATTCTCGCAAACCGCTCGCCCACATGACACCACACACTGGAGAAAGGAGAAATGCTCACTAACATGGATATAAATCTGAAAGAAATAAGTTTTTTTGTGTGTATGGACAATTTCTGGGATCTTTTATTTCAGCTCATTAAACATGGGACCAATACTTTCACATGTTGCATTTATATTTTTGTTCAGTATAGTTTTAAAGTAACTGTCCAGTGTAAAAACAAAAGTTCATATTCTGTTAAATCATGCCCAAATAATTAGGGCTGGGAATTGCCAGTGACCTCAAGTTACGATATCACGATACGATATGTATTGTGATTCTCACGATTCTATATGTATTGCAATTCGATACTGCGATTTTATTGCGACTTGATGTTCCAAACATGTTGCTCACTATTTGTCTGCTGCAGAGAGATGAGGGAGCATGAGAAAACGTCTTCTGATCAGTCAGTGAAATAAAAGTGCTGAAAACATGTTGGCTCACTATTTAAAAAGATGGACAACAATCTATAAGATTAGAAATACTGGAGTTTTGGAGCAAATACAGCCAACTAGTGCTAGCTAACGCTACCTATCGATTATTTTTTTTTAAATATCAATATAATAATATCGTCCCCCCCCATCCCTACAAATAATGTTGTTGACTCATCCTATACTCTAATGTGGCCATAGGAGCGTCGTTAAATATCCGAGCTGTTTCCTAAAACCAACGTTATTTACGTTACACTTGAAAACGCTCGTAATCTAACCCCTGCCTCAGACCACTCGTAGAACAGCTAAGTGCATTGTTAGATGCTTTTTTTTGTCCTCCCTCGTCACTTTATACACAAATCTCCGCTAAACAAAGGAAGTTATGGTCAAACCATGTGATTCTAACAAAGTTGACTACAGTACAAATACGAAGTTGCCAATGTCTTTGCAATTGATACAAACAAGTGACGTATAAAAACATGCTTCTAATGAAAACCGAGATGACAGTGCTAACTGTGCCACTAGAGATCCTGTTTCGAATCCAGGCTCTGTCGCAGCCGGCCGCGACCGGGAGACTCATGGGCGGCGCACAATTGGCCCAGCGTCGTCCAGGGTAGCGGAGGGAATGGCCGGCAGGGATGTAGCTCAGTTGATAGAGCATGGCGTTTGCAACGCCAGGGTTGTGGGTTCGATTCCCACGGGGGGGCAGTATAAAAAAAAGATGTATTCACTAACTGTAAGTCGCTCTGGATAAGAGCGTCTGCTAAAATGACTAAAATGTAAAATGACTGCATTCAAATATAAACAGTAGCCTATAGGCCTATTTCAATCATATTGAAATACATTTAATGTTCAATCAATTGAGTTTTATTTTGCTACCTGTAGGCTACTGTCTGTAATTTGTCTAAATATATTTCATGATGTGTAGCCTAACGTGCCAAATCAGTGATTTTTGTGTATTTTCATTAGGTAAGCATTATAATAAGCCGCCTCTATATTTGCAGCCGTAAGTGATACACTCTCTTTAGGAGCTGATCCGACGTCAGTATTGTAAAATAATTATAATGTTAAGGAAAGATTTGAATGGAGAAAGCTGATCCAAGAGCAGCACTCCCTTTCTTTCGGGACCTATCAGGATCGACACATGCTCCAACGACGGACTTAGTGACCATTCTCTATGCGTGGTGTTTTGGGAAACACATGTTACATCTTCGGCCGTAGTAGGAAAGATGCATCATTATAACACTCATAAGCCTAAGTCCCATCGCTATCGGAAAACCGGGCCCCGACCGTTTAAAAATGCTTGCCATTTCCTCAGAGGATAATGTCATCCTGAGGAGGATGAGCTGGTCAATCAGCGATCTACTTGCATTACTATTTTTAGCTACCGGTATAAGCCCCACACCATTCTGTTGTTGTTCACCCACACCATTCAACACAGAATACCTGCTTTTTAACATACTTAATTTGTACAAAATTGGAAGGAAATCTGACACTCATATTGTAATTAATTATAGGTCATATTTCTTAGAAATCTGGAAACACTGGACAGTTACTTTAAGTTAACAACTAAAACAAGTGTAAACACTTCAATTTAAATAATCAACGCTTTATTTAATATAATTTCAAATTGTACAAATAAGCCAATTTGTATGTGAAGGTTAGACATCTTAGTAACAAGTAGGCTATAATTACAAATTAAAGCATAATATCAGGAAAATATATCCATATCAGAGGTGGCCAACCTAGCAGAGATTTCTATTCCAGCCAACCAATAGCACACCTGATTGTCAGCTCATTAGGTTTGATAGGTTGAATCAAGTGTGTTAGTGCTGGGCTGGAACAGGGTTGGCCTGCTCCAGTTGTAATAGGTTTATACATTTTGTGTAACTTTTAAACTGGATTTTTGTTTACAACATTAGCTAACACAGGCACACGTATAACCATTGTGAATTGATTGCCCCCCATCTATCCTCAGAGTTCGTATTGCTTGGTGACCTAAACTGGGATATGCTTAACACCCCGGCCGTCCTACAATCTAAACTAGATGCCCTCAATCTCACACAAATTATCAAGGAACCTACCAGGTACAACCCTAAATCCATTAACCTGGGCACCCTCATAGATATCATCCTGACTAATTTACCCTCTAAATACATCTCCGCTGTCTTCAACCAGGATCTCAGCGATCACTGCCTCATTGCCTGCGTCCGTAATGGGTCCGCGGTCAAACGACCACCCCTCATCACTGTCAAATGCTCCCTAAAACATTTCAGCGAGCAGGCCTTTCTAATTGACCTGGCCCGGGTATCCTGGATGGATATTGACCTCATTCCGTCAGTAGAGGATGCCTGGTTGTTCTTTAAAATTGCTTTCCTCTCCATCTTAAATAAGCATGCCCCATTCAAAAAAATTCAGAACTAAGAACAGATATAGCCCCTGGTTCACCCCAGACTTGACTGCCCTTGACCAGCACAAAAACATCCTGTGGCGTACTGCATTAGCATCAAACAGGCCCCGCAATATGCAACTTTTCAGGGAAGTCAGGAACCAATATACACAATCAGTTAGGAAAGCAAAGGCTAGCTTTTTCAAACAGGAATTTGCATCCTGTAGCACTAACTCCAAAAAGTTTTGGGACACTGTAAAGTCCATGGAGAATAAGAGCACCTCCTCCCAGCTGCCCACTGCACTGAGGCTAGGAAACACTGTCACTACCGATAAATCTACGATAATCGAAAATTTCAACAAGCATTTTGCTACGGCTGGTCATGCTTTCCACCTGGCTACCCCTACCCCGGCCACCAGCTCTGCACCCTCCGCTGCAACTTGCCCATGCCCCCCCCCCCCCCCCGCTTCTCCTTCACCCAAATTCAGAGAGCTGTAGTTCTGAAAGAGCTGCAAAATCTGGACCCCTACAAGTCAGCTGGGCTAGACAATCTGGACCCTTTCTTTCTAAAATTAACAGCCGAAATTGTCGCAACCCCTATTACTAGCCTGTTCAACCTCTCTTTCGTATCGTCTGAGATCCCCAGAGATTGGAAAGCTGCCGCGGTCATCCCCCTCTTCAAAGGGGGTGACACTCTAGATCCAAACTGTTACTGACCTATATCCATCCTGCCCTGCCTTTTGAAAGTATTTGAAAGCCAAGTTAACAAACAGATCACCAACCATTTCGAATCACACCGTACCTTCTCCGCTATGCAATCTGGTTTCCGAGCTGGTCATGGGTGCACCTCAGCCACGCTCAAGATCCTAAACGATATTATAACCGTGATCGATAGAAGACAGTACTGTGCAGCCGTCTTCATCGACCTGGTTCTTATTGGCAGACTAAATAGCCTTCGTTTCTCAAATGACTGCCTCGCCTGGTTCACCAACTACTTCTCAGATAGAGTTCAATGTGTCAAATCGGAGGGCCTGTTGTCTGGACCTCTGGCAGTCTCTATGGGAGTGCCACAGGGATCAATTCTCGGGCCGACTCTATTCTCTGTGTATATCAATGATGTCGCTCTTGCTGCTGGTGACTCTCAGATCCACCTCTACGCAGACGACACCATTTTGTATACATCTGGCCCTTGATTGGACACTTTGTTAACAAACCTCCAAACGAGCTTCAATGCCATACAGCACTCCTTCCGTAGCCTCCAACTATTCTTAAACGCTAGTAAAACTAAATGCATGCTCTTCAATCGAACGCTGCTTGCATCCACCCGCCCGACTAGAATCACTACTCTCGGCGGGACTGACTTGGAATATGTGGACAACTGCAAATACCTAGGTGTCTGGTTAGACCATAAACTCTCCTTCCAGACTCACATCAAGCATCTCCAATCCAAAGTTAAATCTAGAATCTGCTTCCTATTTCGCAACAAAGCCTCCTTCACTCATGCTGCCAAACATGCCCTCGTAAAACTGACTATCCTACCGATCCTTGACTTCGGCGATGTCATTTACAAAATAGCCTCCAACACTCTACTCAGCTAATTGGATGTAGTCTGTCACAGTGCCATCCGTTTTGTCACCAAAGCCCCATATACTACCCACCATTGTGACCTGTACGCTCTCGTTGGCTGGCCCTCACTACATATTCGTTGCCAAACCCACTGGCTCCAGGTCATCTATAAATCACTGCTAGGCAAATCCCCACCTTATCTTAGCTCATTGGTCACCATAGCAACACCCACCCGTAGTATGCGCTCCAGCAGGTATATCTCACTGGTCATCCCCAAAGCCAACACCTCCTTTGGCCTCCATTCCTTCCAGTTCTCTGCTGCCAATGACTGGAACGAACTGCAAAAATCTCTGAAGCTGTAGACTCTTATCTCCCTCACTAACTTTAAGCATCAGTTGTCAGAGAAGCTTACTGATCACTGCACCTGTACACAGCCCATCTGTAATTAGCCCACCCAACAACCTCATCCCCATATTGTTATTTATTTTGCTCATTTGCACCCCAGTATCTCTATTTGCACATCTATCATTCCAGTGTTAATACTAAATTGTAATTATTTTGCACTATGGCCTATTTATTGCCTTACCTCCATAACTTACTACATTTGCACACACTGTATATAGATTTTCTATTGTGTTATTGACTGTACATTTTGTTTATCCCATATGTAACTCTATGTTGTTGTTGTTTTTATCGCACTGCTTTGCTTTATCTTGGCCAGGTCGCAGTTGTAAATGAGAACTTGTTCTCAACTGGCTTACCTGGTTAAATAAAGGTGAAACAAAATTTAAAAAACAGACTCCATGAGGGTGGTATGAGGGCCCGACGTCCACAGGTGGGGGTTGTGCTTACAGCCCAACACCATGCAGGACGTTTGGCATTTGCCAGAGAACACCAAGATTGGCAAATTCGCCACTGGCGCCCTGTGCTCTTCACAGATGAAAGCAGGTTCACACTGAGCACATGTGACAGACGTGACAGAGTCTGGAGACGCCGTGGAGAACGTTCTGCTGCCTGCAACATCCTCCAGCATGACCGGTTTGGCGGTGGGTCAGTCATGGTGTGGGGTGGCATTTCTTTGGGGGGCCGCACAGCCCTCCATGTGCTCGCCAGAGGTAGCCTGACTGCCATTAGGTACTGAGATGAGATCCTCAGACCCCTTGTGAGACCATATGCTGGTGCGGTTGGCCCTGGGTTCCTCCTAATGCAAGACAATGCTAGACCTCATGTGGCTGGAGTGTGTCAGCAGTTCCTGCAAGAGGAAGGCATTGATGCTATGGACTGGCCCGCCCGTTCCCCAGACCTGAATCCAATTGAGCACATCTGGGACATCATGTCTCGCTCCATCCACCAACGCCACGTTGCACCACAGACTGTCCAGGAGTTGGCGGATGCTTTAGTCCAGGTCTGGGAGGAGATCCCTCAGGAGACCATCCGCCACCTCATCAGGAGCATGCCCAGGCGTTGTAGGGAGGTCATACAGGCACGTGGAGGCCACACACACTACTGAGCCTCATTTTGACTTGTTTTAAGGACATTACATCAAAGTTGGATCGGCCTGTAGTGTGGTTTTCCACTTTAATTTTGAGGGTGACTCCAAATCCAGACCTCCATGGGTTGATAAATTTGATTTCCATTGATAATTGTTGTGTGATTTTGTTGTCAGCACATTCAACGATGTAAAGAAAAAAGTATTTAATAAGATTATTTCATTCATTCAGATCTAGGATGTGTTATTTTAGTGTTCCCTTTATTTTTTTGAGCAGTGTATGTATATTTTCTTAAAATCCATTCCTTACTGGTTTTGTGTGTATTGGGTATATGTTGTGAAATTGTTAGATATTATTGCACTGTCGGAGCTAGAAGCATAAGCATTTCGCTACACCCGCTATAGCATCTGCTAAACACGTGTATGTGACAAATACAATTTGATTTGATTTGGATGTTATCCTGATAAGTGTGCAAATTTGACCATTTTCTGTCCTGCTAAGCATTCAAAATGTAACGAGTACTTTTGGGTGTCAGGGAAAATGTATGGAGTAAAAAGTACATAATTTTCTTTAGGAATGTAGTGAAGTAAAAGTAAAAGTAGTCAAAAATATAAATAGTAAAGTAAAGTACAGATACCCCAAAAAACTACTTAAGTACTTTAAAGTATTTTTACTTAAGTACTTTACACCACTGCCAATAAGTCTACTGATTATGATCTAAAACTGGTAAGATATTCCTTAGTTAATTTATCTCCTACCAAAGAAATTAAAAACATTGTAAGCATTGTATGCATGTTGTGAATAAAGTAGCACTAAAAACGTTTTTTGAAATATAGACAGAAAAGTCATCATTTCAGAGCTTTTACTCGGGATTCTAGCCAAGAAACACGCCTGAACAGCCGACAATGTGCCTTTCCCTGACGTTTGGGAGATTTCATTCATGGCAAATGCTGCAAATGTCATTTTAAAGTACCTTCAATAGGTGTGCTGACCTAGCCATATTCGTATCCATAAATTTGCAGTTGATAGTCGGATCAGATGATACTCGTGATCAGAAAAAAACAGAAGTGTTTTAATATGCCTAAATAGATGTTGTCAAAATATCTATCTCCCTGTAAATTTAGACCAAACAAACTGCAGATTAGGAGCAGCGTGCTGAGGGGTGTGTGTCCTCAATTTGCAGCGGGCTGGCAAAAAAGTTAGCTGTCACTCAGTCAGAATATGCATCAGCAGTTCATTTTTTTCCCTACCCTCGGCCCGCTTGTTAGATATTATGTACATTGATTGCTTGATAGATAGAAAACGTGCGCGCCATTTGATTAATCATAGTAGCAGGCAAATAGGAGGCAGCAGCGATCTAAATAATCTGACTAAACACGCCAGCAGGAGAAGTGATTGGGTGAAATTATGAAGCGAGTAGATGGAGAAATACGGCTTAACGCTATCCAATCAGAGCAGCAGGATCAACGTACAGCCCGCCCTTCTCTTTCGAGACAGGCAAACTAGCCTGTTTAGTTATTTAGAACGTGTAGCATCTTGCACTTGTCAGTTACGTTATTTAAAAGATGTAGCACATTGCACTTGATTTAAAGATGCGCGCTGCCACCCGAAAATATATTTTATTTCCGATCACGGATAATTACAAAAAATACTCTGACCATAATCGTATCAGGAAAATTGCACATATCCGTAACGATACTCGTTTCGTCGTCTTGACTACTCCAGATGGTGTGCTTTGAAAACACAACACAAACCTCACAGAGAGTGTGATAGGGCTTCTTGAGATCCAGCAGCAGCATGTTGCCAAGCAGGGGCAGCGGCCTGGGTCCTGGAGGCTCCTTCCCCTGTTCCTCAGAGCTGGAACCAGAGAACAAGAGGTAGAGGACCATCATAAACAGCAGAGCCCCCAGCAGTGTCACCGTGCTGGGAGCCTGGAGGAGAAGATCTCCCATAAGAGCCATGGATCTCCACAAGCAGTGCTCTAAGATAAGACCGTGATGTGAAATCGGGAAAAGTGTGTGCCTCAACACAACAACTGGCTTACATAAGAATACCCAGACCTCTATAGGGCTAAGGTTCAGCCGAAGAGGAGGGGTTACGTATCCAGAAAAACAATCTGGCTCATTCTAGCAGGTTTAAACAGTAGCCTACAGCTCCTACAGATCATTACCAAATCCAATACTGATCTACAACAAAACAGAGGAGCGCTTCTTTGGTAATATATGTCAGAGGAGAGGTGTTCTTTGAAATGGTGATGAACATTTAAACTAGCAACAAAGTTGATTCTGGTAGTGTGAACAGTGCATAAGCATTAGCAAAACCTTCCTAAAATATAAAGGCAGGTCAGGTGTAGAAAAGTTAAGCCTTTATTGCAATTATTGATTTTTTAATAGAGAGACACACATTTCCATTCCTCTTTCACATATAACTCATTTGGAGCCTTTTGCAATGCTTCCACAAATGCAAATTCAAGTTAGCCCCTCCCAGTTGTCCATTTGCTTCTGTTTGGTTCCTAGTGAAAACAGCCCTGATAATCCCTCTGTTGTGTTGATAGGGGACAGAATGCGGTCGGACCATCATATAATAGGCATATACATTACTCTTACTGAATTTCCACGTGGGCGAGGATATTGGAAATTTTATCAAAGCCTATTGGATGATAATTTATTCATAATTAGAACAAAGGAATTTATAACTGACTTTTTCCAACATAACATAGGAACAGCGAATCCCCTTATTGTATGGGACACCTTTAAATGTGCCTTTAGAGGCCATGCAATTCAGTACTCATCTCGAAAACAAAATCAATTTAGGTCAAAAGAGTTTATACCAAGAAAGGAAATAGAAAATCTAACAGAACAGATAGATGGCAATACAAACTGTAACATAGAGGCTCAGAATAAATTAGAGGAAAAACAAAAAGAAGTGTAATATATTATACAAATAAAGCAAACTGGATGGAATATGGGGAAAAATGCACAAAATTCTTTTTTAATCTTCAACATAGGAATGCTACCAAAAAGAACTTAATGAAACTGGTTACATTTGACAGAGACACCCATAATTCACCAAATGATATTTTGAAGGAAGAAACAAAGTACTTTAAGCATATGTTTTCTTTTCAGTCGCCTCCATCTCCTCTAACTGAAGCTAATTGTAGAGATTTTTTTTCTATTGATAATGTCAAATTAACAGCCACACAGAAAGACTCATGTGAAGGTGAAATTACAGAGGAGGAACTTCTGGATGCAATTAAAGACTTTAAGTCCGGGAAAACTCCAGGGTTGGATGGCATACCAGTCGAGGTATACCAAACCTTTTTTGATATACTAAGCGGACCGTTATTAGCATGTTTTAACCACTCCTATGTAAATGGTAGATTATCTGACACTCAAGAAGAAGGTCTGATCTCATTATTACTGAAACAGGATACAAGTGGAAAATATAAAGATCCAGTCCATTTACAAAATTGGAGGCCCCTTACACTTCAGTGTTGTGATGCAAAAATCCTAGCAAAATGTATAGCGCATAGAATTAAAAAGGTATTGTCGGATATTATTCATTCTAATCAGACAGGTTTTTTACATGGAAGATACATTGGAGATAATATAAGGCAAGTATTGGAAACAATAGAACACTATGGAAAATATGGGAAACCAGGCCTGCTATTCATAGCAGACTTCGAAAAGGCATTTGATAAAGTTCGACTGGGGTTTATATATAAATGCCTGGAGCATTTCAATTTTGGAGAATCTCTTATGAAATTGGTTAAAATCATGTATAGTAACCCTAGGTGTAAAATAGTAAATAATGGCTATTTCTCAGAAAGTTTTAAACTGTCAAGAGGAGTGAAACAAGGATGTCCACTATCGGCATATCTATTTATTGTGGCCATCGAGATGTTAGCTATTAAAATCAGATCCAATAATAATATCAGAGGATTAGAAATACAGGGCTTAAAAACAAAGGTGTCATTGTACGCTGATGATTCATGTTTTCTTTTAAATCCACAACTAGAATCCCTACACAGCCTCATAGAGGATCTAGATACATTTTCTAACCTCTCTGGATTACAACCAAATTATGACAAATGTACTATATTACGTATTGGATCACTAAAAAATACAATTTTTTACATTACCATGTACAGTGGGGAAAAAGTATGTGAGTGGCACCATTGAGTAAGTCTCCACAAAAAGATGAAGATGTATTCACTCAAGGTACACCGTCACTATGACGACAAAGGAGAAAAAAAAAGATCGAAATACATGGTAAGGTTTAAAATATGTTTGAAATTTGTGGAAAAATAAGTGATTTGGTCTAGTATAACAAAGTTTCTATTACTTTGTATTACCTGTGCATGAAAGTCAAACGTTTTCTGAAGTATTAAAAAAAATTTCACCAATGTTTGGTATTTTGGCACGGCAGCCAGCAAGATTCATTAGAGCAGTGATTTTTTGGGGCTGTCGCTGGGCAACACGGACTTTCAACTCCCTCCAAAGATTTTCTATGGGGTTGAGATCTGGAGACTGGCTAGGCCACTCCAGGACCTAGAAATGCTTCTTACGAAGCCACTCCTTCGTTGCCCGGGCGGTGGTGTTTGGGATCATTGTCATGCTGAAAGACCCAGCCACGTTTCATCTTCAATGCCCTTGCTGATGGAAGGAGGTTTTCACTCAAAATCTCACGATACATGGCCCCATTCATTCTTTCCTTTACACGGATCAGTCGTCCTGGTCCCTTTGCAGAAAAACAGCCCCAAAGCATGATGTTTCCACCCCATGCTTCACAGTAGGTATGGTGTTCTTTGGATGCAACTCAGCATTCTTTGTCCTCCAAACACGACGAGCTGAGTTTTTACCAAAAAGTTCTATTTTGGTTTCATCTGACCATATGACATTCTCCCAATCCTCTTCTGGATCATCCAAATGCACTCTAGCAAACTTCAGATGGGCCTGGACATGTACTGGCTTAAGCAGGGGGACACGTCTGGCACTGCAGGATTTGAGTCCCTGGCGGCGTAGTGTGTTACTGATGGTAGGCTTTGTTACTTTGGTCCCAGCTCTCTGCAGGTCATTCACTAGGTCCCCCCGTGTGGTTCTGGGATTTTTGCTCACCGTTCTTGTGATCATTTTGACCCCACAGGGTGAGATCTTGCGTGGAGCCCCAGATCGAGGGAGATTATCAGTGGTCTTGTATGTCTTCCATTTCCTAATAATTGCTCCCACAGTTGATTTCTTCAAACCAAGCTGCTTACCTATTGCAGATTCAGTCTTCCCAGACTGGTGCAGGTCTACAATTTTGTTTCTGGTGTCCTTTGACAGCTCTTTGGTCTTGGCCATAGTGGAGTTTGGAGTGTGACTGTTTGAGGTTGTGGACAGGTGTCTTTTATACTGATAACAAGTTCAAACAGGTGCCATTAATACAGGTAACGAGTGGAGGACAGAGGAGCCTCTTAAAGAAGAAGTTACAGGTCTGTGAGAGCCAGAAATCTTGCTTGTTTGTAGGTGACCAAATACTTATTTTCCACCATAATTTGCAAATCAATTCATTAAAAATCCTACAATGTGATTTTCTGGAAAAAAAATTCTCAATTTGTCTGTCATAGTTGACATGTACCTATGATGAAAATTACAGGCCTCTCTCATCTTTTTAAGTGGGAGAACTTGCACAATTGGTTTCTGACTAAATACTTTTTTTCCCCACTGTAGATTGCAAAATAGTTGGGAAGAGATCTTTGACGTACCGATCCCATGGCATAGTGTTTATGAACTGACACGCAAAACGACACCGGATTCAAAAATTAGAATCTTTCAATTTAAATTATTATATAAAATTCTTGCTACCAATAGAATGTTATTTATATGGGGGATACAATCTTCCCAGCTCTGCAGGTTTTGCTGTGAAGAGACAGAATCATTAGATCATTTGTTTTGGTTCTGTCCATTTGTAGCTTGTTTTTGGACACAGGTCCAGGAATGGCTAAAGGATTGCAATATTTACCTGGAACTAACCTTGCAGATAGCATTACTGGGTGATCTGAAAAGTCATAGTCAATCAATCAATAATATAATAATACTTTTAGCAAAAATGTTTATTTTTAATTCACAATCTGTAGAAGCAATGAGAATAGAAAGGTTCAGAATTTTTGTAAAACATCACAGTACGGTCGAAATATATATGGCAAATAGAAATCCTATATGGATGGTGTTAAGAGATAGATGGGAGGTATTGAATAGAGTTGAAGGATGGGACTAATAACAAATAACAACAAATAATAACAAAGATAGCTAATAATGTAAGCATACTGTGTCCATAATAAGTATATAGGTTGTATGTTGGGAGCTTTTGGGAAGGAGCACAGTTAGAAAGATATGGCAAACGATATATAATAGAATTATTGTAAAATGAACTCTGTCCATAAGGTGTAGATAGTAAGTATAGACCGGAAGTAGATGCCTGGGCATTGTTGTTCACTAATTTACTCCAAGTAGGGAAAGGATGGTGGGGTTGAAAAGTAATAAAGGGGAGTATATATATAAAAAATGAAAAAAACATGGGGGATTGGAAGTGATGCAGACAATTACATTGATAGAAGATACAATCTATCTGCAATATTAAGCTGATCCATCCCCCCCCCCCCCCCCCAAAAAAAAAAAAAAAAAAAAAAAAAGATTAGTCTACATTTCTAAAAGGAGCTGTACTTTCATTGTACAGTATCTGTGAAAAACTAAGACCACTTAAATAATGATTTATGTACAGGGTCCGGTGTGGCGCAGTTGTTAAGAGTATGCCAGGGTTGTGGGTTCGATTCCCATGGGGGACCAGTACGAAAAAGTATGAAAATGTATGCACTCACTAGTCGCTCTGGATAAGAGTGTCTGCTATATAACAAAACATATGTAAATATATAAAGTGCAGCATTCTTCATCTCGCCTGCACATGTAGCAGGAACTTTTCA